AAAAAGAAGAAGAGCTGCAAGTTCATTAGCGAGAGAGACTCGGTCTTCAGGGTAGAAACTCATTTTGTTTTTCCTTTATGGCATGTACAGGGCCACAGTTGGGATCCCATTTCATTTTGTAAACTTGTATCCATTGTTTTTGTAAATATATAATTACATTAATTTTTGGAAACAGTACCAGCATGTTATTATATTCAACATACACGATGTTTGTTCAGCATGTCAGTGACATGACAGACAGTCAACCACTTATGTAGCATCTCGACCGGTTTCATGTGCGGGTTTACGGGGAACCGGGAAGGGGTGTTACATATTGTTTTTAAAAATTAATTATGAAAAAAATATTGAAGTTTGAGTTTTAATTAGTGGCCTCATTATTTTTGTTTTTTGTTTTTTTTATAAAAATTAACGCATAGTTTTTAAATTTTGCTTATATTAAAAAATTTTAGTTTGAGATATAATATAGTATGTAATGAATTGTTTATTATTATATTAAAAATTTCTCTCTACATATTGTTTTTAAAATTAATTATGAAAAAAATATTGAAGTTTGAGTTAATTAGTGCCTCATTATTTTGTTTTTTTGTTTTTTTATAAAAAATTAACGCATAGTTTTAATTGCTTATATTAAAAATTTTAGTTTGAGATATAATATGTATGTAATGAATTGTTATTATTATTATGTTAAAAATTTCTCTCTACGAATCTTAAAATGAGGATTGAATTGTATTATGTTAAAAGTTTCTCTCTACAAATCTTAGAGTGGTGATTCAATTACTTTAGAATTTCTCTCTATATATATTAAACTAAATTAAATATTCAATTTATTCTGTTTCAATAATTTTTGATACACTCTTTTTAAAATGGATTTTTTAAAAATGAATTTTTATATACTTAGAAAATTATAAAAATTGAGGAAAAAATTTTTAAAAGTCCAAATTTTTATGTTTTAAAGTTTAAATATTATTTTTAAATGACTTTAAATGTCTAAAAAACTTTTACTAGTTTTTATATAATTAAATCAATGTTCACATATACTTGTCTATATGTGTATTTTTTGCCCCCTTAATTCAAATTTCTAGTTCCGTCCCTATCTGTAAGCATATTTAAGATTTCATCTGGTGATACTGTACAGAGAGTAGAATGAAATAGAATATAATCTCTGTTATGAAACAAGGTTACAAGCTTTTCTAACACATGCAACTGCTTAGATCTTCGGCAAGGAGAGAGCTTCAACGAGACCACCAGCGCTCATTTATTCAGAAATTCAAAAGAAAAAAAAAAACGAAGGAGAAGAAGAAGGTATTTTAGTTGAGGAATCTAGGTTTGCGGTTTGTGGAGGCGACATGAATGTCAGACTGTTCTGTTTTCTTTTTCGAATTTCATCGGCAATGTCAACCTCTTGCTCTACTTTGTCGGGTGAGGGGGACAAAGTGCCAAAGGAAAGTTGTCGCTTTGTGCGGTTTATTAAACATCTTATAAGCGTGAACAATAAGCAAATTAAATTACGTAACATCTGTTTTTGGAAAAATAGAGTAATCACGCAACTTTGTCAAAATTTATTATCACAGTGATCATCATACGCGACTCAGAGTTCAAATTTCGCAGAAGCAAACAATAAGAATGGAGAAAGTAGGCGTCCCAACCATAGATCTGCAAGATTTTCCGGGACAATGTGAACTATTGAGAAAGACGTGCGAGGAATGGGGCTGTTTCCGACTAGTAAACCACAACATCTCCTTATCTCTCATGTCGGAGATGAAGAAGGTAGTTAGATCTCTGCTAGACCTTCCTATGGAAATCAAGAAGCGTAACGTAGATGTAATAGCAGGTAGCGGCTACATGGCCCCAAGCGCAATCAATCCTCTTTACGAGGCGTTGGGACTCTACGACATGGGCTCCTCCCATGCCGTGGATACCTTCTGTTCTCAGTTGGAAGCCTCTCCTCATCAAAGGTGGTATTTTCCATTGCAATTCGTACTGTTTGTTTGTCCCTTTTGTATCTGTATCTGATTGAATTGTTATTTCCAGAGAGGTAATAGAGATGTATGCCAAATCAATTTATGAGCTGGCGATCAACTTAGCACGAATTTTGGCTGAAAGTATGGGTTCCAGGTCCGGCAATAATTTGTTCGAGGGATGGGCTTGCCAATTTAGAATCAACAAGTATAACTTCGCTCCTGAGACCGTAGGCTCCCCTGGAGTCCAGATACACACAGATTCTGGGTTCCTTACTATACTTCAAGACGATGAAAACGTTGGCGGTCTCGAAGTTATGGACAAGTCTGGCGCATTTGTGGCCGTTGATCCGGAGCCAGGCACCCTCGTCGTCAATCTTGGGGATGTTGCTACGGTATTCATTTTCTTTCTCCCAATTGGATTTTGATTTGAATCTGTGATAGTTTGGTTAAATTAACTAAATGCTTGTTTCTGCATAACATGGCCAAAAGGCATGGAGCAATGGGAGGCTCCGGAATGTGAAGCATCGAGTGCAATGCAAGGAAGCAACACTGCGGATATCAATTGCTACATTCCTCTTGGGACCAAAGAAGGCAGAAGTGGATACTCCACCGGAATTTGTTGACGCCCAAAACCCACGTCTTTATGCCCCTTTTACCATTGAAGATTATAGAAAGCTCCGAGCATCCACAAAATCGCATGCTGGGGAAGCTCTTGAACTTGTACGTATCCAGTCCTGACTTTTAACGCGAAGCATTGCGGACTGGAGAGATTAATAACTTGGTGTAGACTAATAACTAGAAAAAACATTCAATGGAAGATGACTTCTGCATGTTCGACCTGCAAGTTCAAATTAGGATGTACTTGGTTCATCCAAATGGACACGTACATGTATAACCAGGGGGTTCTGGTTTATTGTTTTTTACTAGATTGTTCTGACTCATGTCATGGCTGGAATATTAGCAGCAAGAAAGTGCTTCAAGTCTTGATTTTCAGACGAGTGAAAAGCTATAATTTTAACGCTATATCTGGCAATTACTATGTTTCGCAACAACTTCACAAATGCCTCTCTTTTTCTTTAATCAGTTCAGGAGATCCAATATCCATTTCTTTGTATTTTTTTCTTTCCACATAAAATGAACATTGTTCAGCAGGAGCTTTTGTTTGTTCCATACAGTAAAATAAATTACGAAACCCAAAAAATGTATACAATTCTCTTGATCCAAATGTACACTTGCACAAACCACCTCCAACAATCCATAAAATCTTAAAAAGGAACCGTATAGCAAGCTAGGACGGAAATGTCAGACCATGTCCTCTTCTTACCAAAGAATTAGATAAAGATAAAACAAATTAGGAATAAATGGAAAGGAAGGAATTGATTTGGCTAGACAAAAGAACTGTCTGTGAGTCCCTCGGCATAGCTTTGAGGGCTGACACATTGAGGGGTCCAACCAGATGTAATGTTCGTAGTATCAGCTGTAACATCCAAGTTGGTGCTACTGCTGGAATCTGGTCCAGCTGCAGAAGGCCAAACAAAAGCCGGCTTGAAAGGCGGGACATGAGGAACTGCCACTGATCCTGATACTATCTGAAAGATGGCTTGTGTTTTCGGTCTCTCGCTTGCAATAGGATGGGAACATGCCAACCCAAGCAGCAGGAGCCTTTCGGCTTCCTCAACATTGTAGTCATTGCCCAAACTCTCGTCAACCGCCTCCAGTATGCGCCCTTCCCGATTCAGCCACCATACCCAGTCCACCAAGAACTGGAAGCCGGCAATTTTGGTCCAAGGACGCTGCCCGCATACCACCTCAAGAACCACAGCACCAAAACCATAGACATCAGACTCACGGGTGGCCTTGCCAGTATGAAAGCATTCAGGGGCAATATAGCCCATAGTTCCAGGTACTCCCTCTAGCTCTGCATACGAAGTCTTCTCATTTTCCAAGGCACGAGCCAGCCCAAAATCGCCAAGGCGAGCATTAAAGTTAGAATCGAGCATGATGTTGCTGGCTTTGAGGTCTCGATGCACCACTTTCTGGTCATACTCGTTATGGAGATAGTGCAGTGCAGATGCCAGCCCAGCTATGATATTGTACCTGATTTTCCACTCTAGAGTAGTTTTTTCTTCGGGTCCATTGAATAGGTGTTTATCCAAGCTCCCATTTGGCATGTAATCATAGACCAGAAGCAGCACTCCATTCTTGTGGCACCATCCTATCATTCATTTTAAAACAACAGTAAATAAAAAATTATAATCAAATTTAGATATTCATAATAGCCAGGTTTAAATGCACAACACATCATTTGCAATTATAATTATAATGTAATGTAATTCTACCATGAAAAGAGATTGAAACATTAAATCATATTAATGATTTTAGCTAGCTTCATTTTTTTGCCCATTTTCGAACTTTCCTGCCGCATGGAAAATAGACTCTAGACTCAGGCTTGTGGTAAGGTTCTCTGCTTGCTAATGTTATGTATCATAAAGACTCTAATTTTAGATTAATTCATTGTTTTACTTTCATTTGAGAAGAAAATTAGACTAAAGCTAAATTAAGAGATCATTTTCCAAATTTTTGGGTTTGTACAAGACTTACAGGCCAATGAGAAAGGAAGCAAATAAGTAAAAAGCAAATATTCCTTTTGGTGACTTAGGATAGGGATAAAGATGGGTCAATATCCAAAACTACTGTAGGATTTGAGTGTGAATGCTGCCATAGAAATGACAACTGAAAAAAAAAAAAAAAAAAAAAAAAGATTAGGGATAAAGATGGGTCAATATCCAAAACTACTGGTAGGATTTGAGTGGTTGAATGCTGCCATAGAATGACACAAAAAAAAAAAAAAAAAAAAAAAAGCAAAAGAAATCTTACCTAGTAATCGGACCAAATGTTTATGGCGCAGACGATTAATGATGGTAAGCTCAGCCAAGAAATAATCTTGACTCTGAAGATTGCCTCTGGAGAACTTTTTGACAGCCACTGGAACATTCTCATTAGGCAGAACTCCTTTGTACACCATTCCAAATCCACCTTGACTAAGTTTATTCTTCTCATCGAAATTGTTGGTCGCCTTCTTTAGATCCCTAAACCGGAATTCCCTCGGCATTCCTGGCAGACTCTTCAGTGCTCCTAATATGATGGGATCCAAAGCCGCCTTCTTCTCTCTCAGATAATAAATCAACCCACCCGCCCCTATCATTAATAGTACCAATACACCCACCCCAACTCCTACAGAGATTCCAATTACCTTTTTATTACTGCCATTACTTTTGCCATTATTATCATTAGCAGAGGGCAGCAGCTCAACTGTCAAATTCCAGCCAAGCACGCAGTTGAGCTCGTAGGAGGCCAAGCACGCAGTTGAGCTCGTAGGAGCTTCCTGTGGATGCAGCAAAGCCAAAGTAAGATGTCTGATTGACGTGGTCTTTGAGGTCGAGATTCGCATTCAGCACCGCCCTAGCGGGTTTCGGCGTTCCTTGCTCTGCCATGTAAACGTTTATTTCCTTCTTGGCACCATCGTAATTAATCCAGACCATGTAAATTTTTGCGCCCACCGGAGCGATCTGAATGCCAAAGTCAGAAAGCGGTACCGCTTTGATGGAGCGAACACTATGGATGTCGAGACCCATGTGGTTGTCATCCGGGTCGAACTCCTGCCTGAAGGTGTCAAGCTCGATGGCGACGATGCCATTGGAGGAATCGCCATCGGTGGTGGAGTTGGTCAAACCTAGATACTGTCCATTGCTGTTGGGAGGGAGTCAAGCTCGATGGCGACGATGCCATTGGAGGAATCGCCATCGGTGGTGGAGTTGGTCAAACCTAGATACTGTCCATTGCTGTTGGGAGGGAGCTCAATCTCGGGGGCTATCAGGAAAGCTAAGCCCTCTCCAGGGACAGAGGAGGTGTTAACACGAAAGATATTCATGAGGAAGGAAGTGTTAAAGGAAGCGACCCTTGCAGCTTCGCCTTGTCCTTCCCAAAGCGTGAAAGACTGATTGAAGAAGACTCGGCCAGACCTGTTAGCAAGGGTGAAGTTACCGGCAGAATCAGGAGTGACCTGAAGTGCATTATTGCTGATTGTAGCAGGCGTTAAGACTGCAAAGGTGGTGTAGTATGAGCTGTTGAATGGACCGAACTCGTGGTCTGATGTCTCCAACTTCTGGGCGAGGCAGGCGGCGTCTGGTAAAACAAGTAAAAGAAAGATGGTGGCAAAACTCACCGCCGGCAGATCCATTAAACTTCTAATGGCGGCTCTGCTTACACAGACGAAGGAAATTAGTAGCTAAAAACCAAACAAATGATGGAAAGCAGAGAAAGTTCCCGACTTTGAATGATTTTTCAAAAACAATATTTAACTGTAGCATAGCATGTTGCCATGTTTTCTTTTCTTCCTTTGTGGGAGATACTATTTGAAATTGATAAGCTTTGTTTGGATGGAGAGAAAATGTAAAACGTGGGAAGTAAAATGGTAAATTTATTTTATTTAATTACACCTTTATTGTTTTATTTTTCTCTCATTACGGAAAGTAAATTGGAGAAAGTAAAATAAAGATACTTTATGTCCACTCATAGTAATATTTCATTTTCAAACAAGTTAATTTACAGATATTGAAAAATTTTTACTCAGTTATTTTACATCCAAACAAACAAGGCGCTTAGCTTTTAGGTGACATCGACGATTAGGTAATTTTTTAATAAAATATTAGGCGTATAGACTTTGTCACCTTATGCTTTTCTTATTCCTTTGCTTTGTGGTTTCTTTATTAATTTTGTGCTATTGGAATGCGACTTCAAACTAATCCTCTCTTATCAGCTCAGCTGAGCTCATGCAAAATTTGCTGATGAGAAATATTTTCCTTTTAATTTTTTTTTTAAATAATCGGAAGTAATAAAGTGATTTTTCTAAAAATTGAATTTATTTTTTTATTCTTTCGAAAATTTCTTTCCTTCGATTTTAATAGACATAGAAATAAAAATATTTGCTGCAATATATAAACATGGCGAATAAGGGTTGACTTAAATCCAATTAAGTGTCGCATTCTGAAATTCTTATATTAATTAACTATGATCATTCTTGTTAACAATTATCTTATGCACGAAATTTGATTAAACCAAGTTGATAGCTTCATAATCCATAAATTAAACTACCATTTAGCCATTCACGTCAGACGTCAGCCTCCTAACTAACTTCAACTCTTGGTTACTAAAAAAAAAAAAAAAAAAAAAACCATTCACGTCAGACGTGCAGCACCCTAACTAACTCAACTCTTGGTTATAAAAAAAAAAAAAAAAAAAAAAAGACTTGGACACTAGTGGAGGATCTAAATTGGCAAATTAATAAAAAAAGACTTTAACAATATGCTCTTTTATTTTTTTATTTTTTATTTTAAAAAAAAAAGGAAGGAGACTTCGGATTCCGACTACGTTCCTTTTGTCGCTCTCCATTTCCTCTTCGTTGATGCCGCTGCTATTAATTAATTTTAATTCAACCGTGACAGCAATTAAGGAGCTAGATTGTGATTATGCAAATGTTGTTTTATCTTAACAGATAATGAAACTATTCATAACAGCACATGAAATAATCAAAGTGTATGTGAATGTGCCATTCAATTATACGTATAAATACTTTTTTTAAAAAAAAGAAAAAGAAAAAGGTACGTATAATTTAAATATTGATGTAGATCATGTGGACGTGAATTCCAAAATGTTGGCCCTATATTGATGTAGATCATGTGGACGTGAATTCCAAAATGTTGGCCCTACAAGAGACCTATGATTAAAATGTAAGCAATCAAAGATAAAAGCAAGAACCCGAAAGGATTTTGGTGAAGCCTATTTGGATTTTTTGAAGACGATTAAATAAGAACTCTCCATAACATGAGAAATACACTCTTTAAAAACTTTATTGGTAAAACTTTTTTGAATGTAGAGTTTACACTCAACTAACGTCAAAGTCTCACCGCAAATAAGGTATAAGTTTGTAGTCAAGACATAATCAAACTAATATGAATTTTGAGAATTTTTTATATATTAGGTATGTGCAATATGTAGTTTATATATACTTTTTGCATTCAAAGATCCTTTTTAAATTAGAAAAGACTTATCACATAACTAAAATTCATATTTTATAATTGACATTAAAAGAATTAATATTTGAATTCAATTATTACGTTGATGGCTTATTTATATCTAATATTAAAAAGAAAAATTATATTTCAATACCAAGATTTAATAAAAAAAAAAGACAAATATTATTAAGGATTAATTAATTTTTTTAAATTTAATTAGAAAACCTCGTATTTAAATTTAAATTTATTATTAAAAAATATTAAATTATGAGTATAAATAAGGTGAAAATTAAGATTGTTTAAAATTAGTTGAATTAAAATTTAAGGTGTAGATTAAGATTGTTTAAAATTAGTATGTGAAGTTAAAAATTTAATTGGTTAATTCATAAAACGAAAAATTGTAAGTTGTGTATTGGTTTTTAATCGAGCTGAGGTTAGATCTTGAGCCTAAATTTATTATTAAAAAATATTAAATTATGAGTATAAATAAGGTGAAAATTAAGATTGTTTAAAATTAGTTGAATTAAAATTTAATTGTAATTCATAAAACAAAAATTGTAATTGTGTATTTTGATTTAATCGAGCTGAGGTTAGATCTGAGCCCAGCTCGAGCGTTAGCTCATCTGCAACCTATTGAATCCAGCTTAAGTCTGGATATTTTGAAACAAGGCAAGTCCAAGTCTGAGTTCGGGTATTACCCTTCTCTCTGAAGTTTGGCTCGGCTGGGCTGATTTGGAGCTCTACTGAGTGTCGGGGGAGGCCCTGCCCTGCGTTCAACGTTACCGCCTCAGAGACAAAATAACGCCAAGGATTGCATAATTTTAGGAGCATAAAAGGAGGGATGGAAGCGCGTTAAGCTTTTTCAAAGTCATCTCTCGCCATTGCCCTGTAGCTGTTTATCAAGAATTGTATCTCCCATAGCTGTTCGGTAATGTTTTTCTACACTCTGTTTCTTTGCCCCAAATTTTATCCTTTTCTGAAATTGATTTGCCCCGATTTTTATCCCTTCCTGCAATTGTTTTGTTTCGATTAATTCAAAGGGGAAAAAAAAAAAAAGAAAGAAAAAACAGGCCTAACTTAGATTTTTTAGGTTAATTGAATGCTACGAAAAGTAATATTGATTGCGATAGGGTTTTCTATTCATCACACTACCTTGGCGAATAGAGAAATTTAAGTAGAAAATTTCAGTGTTTTTTGTTAGTTGATATATAGATATCTGTCTCCTCAGAAACTCGTTTCCCATAACATTGTTGTCGTTGTATATTTCCCCTCCATTGATCTTGTAAGGAAATAGAGCAATAAGGTATGGGTTTGCTGATGAATCTTTTAGTTGCATGCTCTATGCAATTGATATAATAGGTTGGCGTCTTGTAGTCATTACAATACATCTCATACTTCACTTCTGCTGAAACTATTCTAATTAGCTTAGATTCTAGATTGCTGAAATTCTGTTTCTTCTGCTGGCAGTATTGCTGGTGAATAACATGCAAGATCCAAGGATGCCACCATCTGGGGATATCACAAAATCCAAGCCACACAAGAAGAAAGTCCCGGCCTCCAGAGCTTCCTTGATTTCATTACAAGGCAATGATCTCAGAGAGGTTAAACAGGTGCAGGGCCCTCTAAGAACAAGCCAGAAAGCCTCCAGAAGGAACTTGAAGAATGAGGGCTCACCACTGATCCAGCAACAAGAGAGGTCAAACTCAGATTCATTGCCTGACTCCTCGACATCAGGGAATGAATACCGTGCACTTAGGAGGAAGTATTTGTTGTTGGAGGAAGAAAGCTTTGGTTTAGGGAAAGAGTTGAAGGTAGTTGAAGATGAGGTTAAGACTCTTGAAGATGAGAAGCTTGCATTGTTAGACCAGCTTGTTGTGTTGGAAGGCCTAATTGATCCTTCGGTGGTGTATCCCCATGAGTTGCCATCCTTATAATTCCAAGCAATTTTTCTAGGTGGGTGCACTTGTAGATGAGCTCCTAGATGTATTTATTGGTTCATCCTTTTTGTTTGTTATAAATAACTGAAGCAAAGTCAGTTTCAAGATTTGATTTGTACTATGCAATCTTAAAATCTGAAGGTATAAATCTTTAACATATGAGCTTTTGTGTAGAAATCTTGGCAAGTTTTGCATTTGGTTTACAGCAGGTGCTTGTGGTTACTGTTATTCAAAGTTTTCTATGGGGTGTCCTTGCATTGCATCAATAGTCTATTGTTTTGATTTAGTTGCCATCAGATAAATCCAGTGGATTGAATGCAGTAGCTTTGACTTATCCGTATGCCAATCCTCGATAATATGCAAAAAAATTGAAAAAATTTCGTAAATTTTATCGACCCAGAAATGAAAATAGACAACCCAGGGAAAAAACAGAATTAGAAGAATGAAAAAATATTTCTTGAATTTATATATATTGCCGAGGACTTAAAAATTTAACAAATCTTACAATAATTCTTTTGCTTGTATGATCTAAGTATATGAACTGTGGGGTTGCAAGGGTCTCAAAGCTCCTAAACCAATATATACAGATTAAGCCATCTTATCTCAGCAAGCCCGAACTTGAAGACGCAACCTGGACAACTAGAGGGCTAGTGACTCGTGCATTTCTGTTCCTCCATGTCAGAAACCCAAATGTATAGCCTATTGATGGACTAGCCACCTTGAAATTCACAGTGAATTTTATCTTCTGGCCATAGCTGTTGAATATTAGTCTCTTTGGCACAACAGTGACATTAATCCCAACAGGATTAGACACTACAGCTTTGTATATGCTTCTTGGTTTGCCAACATTGGTCACTGTTCGAGTTACAGAGAAGCTGTCCTTAAGACCTGGGACAGTGATAGAGGGATAATTCAGGCTGGAAGCTGTTGTGAATGTTTCATTGCATGTGCTATTGTCTCTGGTGACCAGATGTAGTGATTTCTCATCATAACCAATCGAGCAGAGAAAAGCTTTATAATCTGTTGGCTGTGTATCATAGATCAGACCGGGATCAAGGACTCTTGTTGGATCAACAAAACCTGATCCATAATCAAATGCACTACCCCTGCTTCCGCTAGGATCCACTGTAATGGGTTTGCGGTTCTTATCAAGGATGGTAGCTGCATGTATATTGGTGATCAGTTAATGGTTTAGAGTTTTGAATAAAATACAGTATATGCTTAAGCAAATTTATGGTGAGAAAAGCTCAGCAGATCAAGATAAGTTCATTCTGATTTCTTCACATTATAATGAAGAGAATGAATGTTTGCATTAAGGGTGATTGGAGGCTCAAGTTTGAGCACTACATGAGGCTACAAAGAAGAGAAAGCCAAGTTGTTTGCCTGACCAAATTTTGAGCAGTTCTAAAATCAGGAGGTACTTCTGCAGTATAAAGATCCACAAAGATCCATTCATTTATAACCCCTATGGACATCTCTAAATATTTATAAGAGTGACATGCACAGTGAGAACTTACCAGTAGTCATGATTGCAGATTTGATGGCAGATGGAGACCAAGAAGGATTGACAGCTTTGATCAATGCTGCAATTCCTGTTACATGTGGACAGGCCATGGAAGTTCCAGAAAGAACATTGAACTGCATTTTGCCAGCTGCTGGAGACCATGCCGCAAGGATGTTCAGTCCAGGAGCTGAGACATCAGGCTACAAAGCAGGAGTACCAGAAAGGGGAAGAAAGGTAATGAAAAATGAAAAATAAAAAAAGGTCTAACCAATAATTATAAAATCCAGTAAGCATTTTCAAGAATTTAAAGAATCTATAGTTAAAATATACCTTCAAAATTTCAGGGGTTACAGCATTAGGTCCTTTGGAAGAAAATGCTGCAATTCGAGGTGCAGGTTGAGATCCCAAAACTGCCTTTGCCCGCGATATTTTTGCTATTGGATTTCTATTATGGTAGAACGGTCTGGATCAAAAAACTGGAGAATTTGGAACTAAAAGTATTGGGAGTCCATTATGAGAAGTGAAAAAACAAACCGTGTGTCCTTAATATAAGATAGAATCTTGTTCCCTATTTCCTTTCCAACAATTGCTGATGGTATTGCAAAAGGAATGGCAACATCTTGATCTGCCTCATCAATAAGAACCATCCCAACTCCACCAGCTTGTTTGACTACCTTGCTCTTGGCCAGCTTTGACTCGGTTGAACTGTCAGCTTGTAGACAGACAAGGACTTTCCCACTGGCTTTAGTACTATTCAAGGAACTTTCTAGACAGTAACTACAAGAACAAATAAAAAAGTAAATAACTTAAGTTTTCCTTGCATATTGAAATTTAAATTGCACTGGCTTTCAAGTACCTGTTGCTTCACCTGGATTGATAAGGAGTGAAGTATCCAGCATAGGCTTCGGAGGCAGAGATGATCCTTGCAGAGGCATCCATTTCAGAGAGACTGAGACTTTCGCCCTATTTCATGAGTGAGAACTAGTAAGGATTTGTCCTTTAAAGTGAAAATTTTGAATAGGAAAAGGGAATGGCATTACTGTAAAATTAGCAGAATTTCCTAGAACGATATCTGATGCAAAGTCCCTGTCTGTTGAACTAGCAGCAACTGTGATCATCCATGGAGCGAGATTCGTCACAGAACCTTGATTCCCTTCATTTCCAGCTGAAGCAATTACTAACACTCCACGGGCAGCAGCATGAAATGACCCAATAGAGATGGCATCACTAAAATAATCTCCCTGGGGAGAATCTGGACCTAGAGACACTGACAAGATATGAACACCGTCTCTGATTGCATCATCAAATGCAGCAAGTAAATCAACATCATAGCAACCCGAGTCCCAACAGGTTTTGTACACTGCAATTCTTGTCATAGGTGCACCCCCTCTAGCTCCCCCAGCTGCCAACCCCTTGTAATTCATATGTGACACATAACGACCAGCAGCAATAGAGGCTGTGTGGCTGCCATGGCCAGAGCTGTCCCTTGGAGATATAAAAGAAAATACCTCGGTTGCAGCTTCTTCAGCTTCATAGCCACTCCTATAGTATCTTGCTCCGATCACTTTCCTGTGTCATAAAAATTTTAACTGACATTGAAGATCTCCAATATTAAGTGTCCATACAATTGAATCATTTAATTTTCCTTTTCAATATATACAGCTCTCACTTCATAGCCACGTCATATAGTTATCTTGCTCGGATCACTTCGTTCCTTGTGTGCCCATAAAATTTTAACTGACAGTTGAAGATCTCCAAATTGATTAAGTGTCCATACAATTGAATCATTTAATTTTCCTTTTCCATATATATATTGATATATATTATATATATATTTATATATATATGTATATATAACATGAAATGAACCTGGTTGCCAAAAGATGACGCATTGAAAGCCTTCTCCTGATTGGCCGAGTGGTCCCTTTCCATCTAAGCTGGTACGTGAGGAGGCAGTGTCCTCATCATCTAAATTGGAGATTCAGGCCAAATTCTCTGATGTAATATATATATATATGTATATATAACATGAAATGAACCTGTTGCAAGATGACGCATTGAAAGCTTCTCCTGATTGGCAGTGTCCCTTCCATCTAGCTGGTACTGGAGGCATGTCCTCATCACTAAAACTTGGAGATTCAGGCCAAATTCCTGATTCAAATGGTGATTAGATCAAACATACGTTCCCTTATTCATTTGTTCTCTTAGAACTTTTTCACCGTCTAAAGCACACATGTCCCACATCAGCTAAGGATGGAGAGAGGCAGTTAACAAGGCAAGGATGGAATTTTAAATTCTATCATTATCAAGGTTAAACCATAAGAAATTATTGCTAATTCAATTTCAACTAAGAAAGGGTTGAAAGAGGAAGCAGTTTGAGATCCTGACCAGTATCAATAAAACCAATAATAATGTTGACTTGATTCTTGGTAGAATGTCCTGGAATCTCCATGGTTTCTTCGCCCACAAGACCCATGAAATCCCAAGAGTGAGTGGTATGGAGTCTCCGTCTCAAATTGGGAAATACAGAGACCACCCCAGGCATCTCTGTAAAAAAAAGTAATTTAAATTTAATAAATAAACCAAAAATAAAATTGATACTAATAATAAAGAGTTTGAGTGAGTTACTAGCAATCTGGGAAGCTTGGTGGTCCGTCAACTTGGCGGCAAATCCCCTAAAACCATGCCTGTAGCTAAAAAGGTGAGAGGCCCGCGCTTGCTCAATGCTATTTTGTGGAGAGACACAATACAAGAGTCACTACTAGTGATAAAAATACATTATAATTTAAAATTGCATATAGAGATATAGAGAAGGAGAAACTGTTAAAGGTGCGACCTTCCTCCATGAACAGCGGCGAGCATTTGGTGGTTTTTGGCGAGAATGTGGCGTGGATGGTCTTGACTGGTTTTACTTCCCATATAAACCACATAAACCTGCAAAGAAACAATACATGAGGCCAAAAGTAAGCAAATGAAAAACCCTGTCACAATATATTTGAAGTTAGCAATTACGCAAACACTTGGTAAACAATACATAAAGCACCTTAGGCTTTGAAGAAGAAGAAGAAGAGCACAATCCTAATTCAGCGACAAAAACAGCAAGCAACAGCCACCATCCACTGCAACGACGGCGACGGCGACTAAGAACTGAAACTGAAGCCATGCCTGAATGTGTATACCGTTGGTGTTTCAGTAATGTGAAAGAATTTTCCGTTTAGAAAAATAATTAATGGCTGAAAAGAGAAAACAGAAAGTGAATAGGAAAAGAAAGTGGGGTGATTCACATTCACATTCAGAGGTATACCGTTATGTATAAAGGCAAGAAAAGAAAAGAAAAGAAAAGAAAGGAAAAGAAGAGATAAAAAGAGTATAAGATTGTTGGTTGAAGGGATGGTTTTATATATTTGGATAGATATTATGCAAATATTATAATACTAAAATATACTTAAAAAATATGACCAATTGGAAGGAGAATGCTTTGCTTTTAGAGCAAAATACCAAAAAAGGCCAGCAGCCAACAGCCGCCCTGTCTCCCTCCGCTACTCAACTCTCCTTAAATTCCAAACTTACCCTTTATTTCCGGAGCCCCTTCAAAAAATGATCAATTATGTTGTGTCACGCTACCACCTTGAATTAAAATGTTACACTGCATAATTACTTCCGACTAATGCATTAGAGTTTGGGATGGAAGCCGCGGGCGGCTGGCTTGCTCCGGTCTGTTTCGGAGGATACGGAAAAATGGATTTTGGACAAATATGACCCGTGAAATAGATTTGGGACCATTATGATTAGTAAAATTACTTCGCAGTAAATATAAGTAAAGTATAAGACTTTAGATGCTCTTCATCTATCACTCGTTATATTAAATAGGTTTGGTCGTGGATACTCTTATCATATCCATTTATTAGTAAAAAGACATATTGTAAATAAGTTGAGGTTTAAATAGTTTAAAATTTGCATGTATCTGTGATACTATTTTAAATGAGTTTAGGATGAACACATGTAGTAAGATTTTAAACCGATTCGAATACAAATATTTAAATAGATATCTAAATGAATTTGGGAGGAATACCTGTAGTAAAATTTTGAGTGTATTCTTTGCAAATTGGTGCTATTTCAACTATTTTACATTTTGTCAATTTATTTCAATTTTGACATTCTTTTGTAATAACCTCTAATTTATTATTGAAATTTTAATTTGTAATAAAAAAATTTTATTAAAAAGAGACACACTCTAATCTTGGATTATCTTCACTCAAACTAACTAAAAAAAAAAATAATTAAAATTCACTATCGATCAGATGTATTCTGAATGGTCTTTTCACTTGTGTAGAGAATGTGATGTCTCACTTTTAGAGTGAAAGGTTTAGATTATGCACTATATTTATATATGTGAAGATTATAATTTGATCACATTTTATTTAATTACTCTATTATCTTTAGAGAAAAATTTTCATTTAGGGTGTTTGTTTAATATAAAGAATTTTACTTTAAATGGAAATTTTGGACAGAATGCCAAAGGAGAAAGTCTAAAATACTTTTAAATAACCTCTGTTATGACCTTTTTTTTTGGCTCAATTAAGGATTATAGTGGTAGACAAAATGTGGATTGGGCAATTAATAATCTTATATTTCCAAAATATGAGTAACAAATACATTTATGAGCAGTTTAGTAGAAATGTGCTTGAATTTATAGACTTGAGCACGAATAAGAATATGTACATTGGTCAAGTTTCATAATATGACCATACATGTTAATTGTTGTATACTAATTTAAAAAAAAAAAAAAAAAGTCTTTATATCCATTTTACACTCTTAATTTTAGCACAAATTTAAATTTTTTTTCGATAAATTTAATTGTAATACTTTGTTAACTAAGTTTATATTCAGTTTCTAAGAAGCGTACACTAATTTAAGTACAAGTCATGAATATGACTAAGCATGAGTATTTTTCTTGGGTGATCAGCATAAAATAGTTACAGATTTATATTGTTACACCCTACTTTTATGAGGATATGAACTCTTACTGATATATGCACAAATTTTGATTTTATGTTCTCATATCTATTGATTCATTCAGCGGCACAATAACCTTTAAGAAAATGATAATGCTTTGTGTCCGATAATTGTGCTCTATGTCGACAAAATGAAATGTAGAATTAGGATTTAATTCTTTTGTGGATTATGTTTTTATACATTTCGTAAAAGTGTACTCAACTTTATAAATGTACGTATGTGAACACAAATAATGAGTATAATAAGACCGGGAGAGTATAATAACATGTAGATGAGTAGGACCATTACGTTTCAAAATTTATATTAAATCATGTATTGGAAAATCTACCGGTTATGCAATGCATGTGCAAAATTAACTAATTAAAGAAAGGAATTAATGTTGGACCATCGAGTATGAATATAATATATCCAACTAAAGCTAAACAGCTAATGCATTTTTTTTTTTTAATAAATTGGAAATCTTCTCTAAAATTAGTGGGCTGGCCCACTAATATTCTTTTTGTTTCCTTGTTTTCATAATTTCATATCATAAAGCTGTCATAACAAATTAAGTAGACAGGCTCACTGATGATATGCATCTCTCTGTAATAATTAACTAATACTCAATTATTAAGATATAACACTGGCTTTCTTTCATTATTAGCTTAGCTTAGTATATATTCTTCAGTCCAATTGCAAGCAATGGATTCCGTATCAGCAAAAAGTATCCAATGATTGAATATGAGAATTTTTAATTTGGAGGCTATGGAAATAATTAAACAAGTTACCAATGTCCATTGGCCACATGTGATGAGTATTAATTAGCCCGTTAAGGTACAGAGATTTGTAATGTTATGACATGACCTTAGTATCCCACAACGCATCTTGGCAAATCTCTCGTACTATTAGAGATCGTCCGCTCAGCGTAATGAAATTTAATATAATATAATTAAAAATATTTTTAATATAAATAGAGTCTTAATATATTAATTTGTAGCCTAAAATTTTATTTAGCAACAATTTTTAATTTATTGTTCCAATGTTTTGATTAAAATCAAAACATTACATTTATCATTTATAATATTCGGATGCGTAGTGCTCATATTAATATTTAAAATTTAAGTGAGTTATAAAATATTACTTTCTTTAATATTTGATAATATAATAGTAATTGCCCAATGCGAGCTTAATACGTGTAATGATTTATCTCAAATTACAATAGTGAATTACTCAATTTAAAACTCAAATTGTTTTGAAAAATCACAGGCAAATAACGTTAAGTAGAATAATATATGTGAATACAATATTGAAGGTCATAATCAAAAGTGACGCATTGCCAGCGAGCAAGACATGTTTCCTTTGGAAGTTTTATTCAGATGTGGTGGACTGAGAAGGTAAGTATCTGTTTCTTCTTTGTAACGTTACAAATTGCTATTGATTTGTAACGTGTCCTCTAATAGGATGAGATATAAATATTTATAGTACTTTTTTTTTCTATTTTAACTGATAGAATACATGCCAAACAAGAATCTCGGTTATAAATATTGAGCGAGAATCTTGGACATTAATTACATGATTGAATGAGTCTTTGACCGATCGTTACTTCTATTCAAATCAATTTGAGTAACACTCGTCAATTCTTAATAATTATTCATATTAGTACTAAATTTTTTAAACAAATCACAATTAAATATTAATTTTCAAAGCATTATTGATAATATAACTCAAATAAGATTAGAAGTAAGATTTTTAAAATTCCCATGAGTTGAGGCTTGTACAAAAGAATATGTCCGTATGGTTTATGTTTTAATAATTATAATTTTTATAAAATTGGTTCCTGATAGAAGTAAAAATGATTATTAGAGTGTACAGGTTTGATGGAACTTCAGCGTCTTTACAAGAGATAGCTGGTGTCCAAGCCCAAGCCAGGCACATGGCTATCTCAATTTTTAATATTTTCTTTGACAGAGCATTACACATTCTTTATATGTAGAACGCAACGCTGGGTATAATTATCTGTATTAAATACTTTTAATGCTAACCACATGTAAAATATCATTCAGTCATAAGTGGAGTGGGCTGTAGCCAACGGCTACTAACTAACCTACCTTTAATGTATGTTTTTTGAACTATGAGATAATGCTTGATAAAGGAAAGTAGAAATGAATGATCCATCTAAAATTGTAGAAATAATGATGAAGAAGATTGCAATTTTCTTTTATAGTGTTGTGTGCTTATTATTACCATAATGTCTAACAAGGGCATCGAGTGTGGTGGTTGACTGGCTAGCGAGCATCCATGGCAAACGGGCGGTGGCATTTCGGTGCAAAAGCAGAGACGTTAAAAGCTTTCTTTCAAGTTTTTCTCTGTCCCGTGAATCATGATGATATGATATGATTTGATTTGATGGTAAAATAAAAAGTTAGAATAGGATGGTTTTATGTTTTATGTGATGCTCAAATCATATGATATGACTCCATTTTACTCAAACCAAAACCAATTCACAATCATTACTTGCCTTATTTCCCAAGTGAAGTTAATCATTTTTATAAGCCGACCAATTAATATTTAATTACCCTTGGCTTGCATTTAAGGTATCCCTGCTTTAAGGTATATGCAGCCAGCGAGGGTTTACTCTGAGCCCGGAAAATTTGTCATTATTTTGAGTCAGGATGATAAGTGTTATCTACACTTAATCTATGAAATTATCAAGCAAGTCCTTTTCACGAGTCAAGAGGAAAAAATACGATGTTAGTGCTTTTAACCTTTCATATTAAGAAATTCCATTTTCTCGACAAGCAATGCATCTTTTTAGTATTTTGTAAACTGCTGTAAAATCTCCATCTATTTAACTTTACGATAGCTTAAAGCGAAATGTTATTGAAGTCAGTAGACAGCATATGGGAAGTTCAACAACCCAAAATGTTTTTCTGTTTCCATTGTCAGACCTTCAATCTCCATCAATTTATAGAACCAGTTGATTTCTTTGCATGCAATACAAGATTTCAAATGTAATGGAATAAGTTCATTTAATTACTGAAACCAGCCTAATATTAGTGAAAATTCTAATTTAGAATTCTGAATGTAAATATGTAGTGTAGATTGAAACCAAGCACGTGGTTGTTGACTTTCTAGAAGAGTTAATGCACTTGTAATCTGAATGTTATATCCAAGCCTCGGAGACAGCTCTCTGCAAAAGCAAGAGGAAAACTAAATGCATTAATTCTTTTCAGACCTCACAAATGTTGGATGCTTCGGGCACTGTATCACATTTTTTTAACCAATTGAATGAAACAAATAGAGATTTTTCCCTTCATCTTTCTTGCTCTCTCCCCAACCTAACAGCTAACCAAGCTCACAAAACTCCAAACACTGCTACACAATTCACAACGTTAATCAATGCAATTAGAATTATAAACACAATGAAGGGACCTGAACCATGTTGCTACTGCTGTTTCAACTTTCAGATACCAGCAACTACACATTTAATCATGCAGATACATATCATGCTAGCCAATAGAAACAAAAAACTGAAAAATGAAATGACACATTTACTAGAAATATTTACCTCTAGAAAATGGAAGAAAATGAGCTATTCATGTCTAGTTAACCAGAGTATTATTCAAGCAGTTTTACAACACGAATGACATCATTTAATACATTGTCTTGCTTCAATCTGTGCCATCAAACATATAAATTAGGATAGAGTAAGAAACGGGCTTGGAGGATGAAAGGTTAATCTTACCCAGATGGGTCACTTTAGACCAATATGCCAAAATCTGATTGAAAACCATTCAATGATATTCAAAGCAAACAGGACTTTTGCAAACAGTAGTAAATGATGAGAATGATGCACTATCTACTGATCATCATAAGTTTCAGGCCAATGATTGTTGAAATGGAATCTGCTGAGAGTTTGCAGATGCAGCCACATAAGGTCATCTGAATATTGACCTTTTCAGCAGGCGAAAGAAGGCTTTTAACGGGAATTTGGAGATCACAATTATGGATATGCACAGATACAACAAGAAAGCAGCAACAAGGCAAATGGCTGCCTAGTAGCCCTATACAATTCTGCACTGAATTTCCACTTAGGTTATCATAAGTTGGATTTTCCCCATGGAATTAAAAGGTGTTAAGGAAAGATCTCTTAGGACGCCATGATCACAGATCATGACCCTTAGTTGTACCAAATAGAAAAAAGAAAAATTGACATGATGAAATGAGAGAAAATTGAATACATTTGCAATATTCCTGATCATGTATTAAATGTTAAACACAAAATAGGAAGTCTGTACACGCAGATAAATATCAAAAAAGTCATTTAATGGATAAACTTATAGATATGAATTTACCTGTGAGTTCAGAATCTACCATTAAATGATTTCTTTAATGACTCCAAGTAAACCCCCACCATGCTTTTCAGTCAATGCAGCTTCCTGCCATACCTCCTAAACTTAACCACCAACCTGTAACAAATAAACCATTAAGTTCATGATATTAGAAGTACATTTGTATCATCACCACCATAAAGTAACATGGTGACTATCAGTTCCCATATCAGATGAGAAAAGGAACAACCAGTTAACAGAATTTTTAAATAAATTGTAATAAAAATGTGAGAAAATGGAACTTGGTACCTTTAACAGTCGCTTTTAATGAAATGGCATTCTCCAGAATTAGAATCATTAATGTATACCTCCAGCAACAACACTTAAAAATGGATCATTTGAACACAAATCCAAATGCACAGAAAATTGCATTGTAAAAAAACACGAATAATTGTCATGGTAAAAGATATATACAACAACTAAGCCTTAGTCCCAAATCAGTCGGGGTTGGCTATATGAATCATTTGCTATCAGTTCCGCTCTGTTCAATTAATAGCCAGAAATAAGCAAAGCATAAAATGGGAAATAGGGAATTTTGAAAAAAGAAAACAATTTTGGTGAAAATTTTTAAAATCATTTGCTTTATTAAGTAATAAACAAGCACAAGATGGACAATAACATGGAAAAATGATGAAAACTATAAGGCCAATAATGAGTGATCAAACATACTAGATGGTGTATTAGATCAAGTACTTCCAGTCCAAAAAGTAACTCCATTCAATTTCAAATGCACAACAACCAAAAAAAAAGCAAGAAAGAGTGATTGTAAATTTTCATCAGACAGTAACTCCATTAATAGAACATATAGCACATCGAGTGGGGGATGGAATTCCATGAAAGGAACAAAAAATACAGCAGCCTTTTCTTTTTCTTTTTCTTTTTCTTATTTTTTAATGCTAGCAGAATATAAACTTGCTACATGTTTCTCACTGAAATTTTTTCATTCTGTGTGCTTGGAAATATAAAACAAAACAGACTTGGCTATAATGTGAAGTTATAAATAAAAGCACACAAAACATGATACAATTTCCTACAACATACCAAAACTTGCATGAAAAAATCATAAATAATAATCAAAGAAAAGAATAAATCATTTTAGGAAAATGATGGATGCTATTGGGTTAGTATTTCATGATGCAATAAAGTCAAAGAGTAATCTTAGGTGACCCCCTCTGTAAACAATTTCTGATGTGGTGAAACAAGTAAGTTTCCGAGCACATACAATGCAGGAGAACTTCAAAAAAATGAAAGACAATAATGAGAGAATTCTATTCAGTGGGATGAAATTCCATACAAGGAACAAAAATTCACATGGCAGCTTTATGTTCTGTTGGTGATAGAAGAATTTAAACTTGCTGTATTATATTTCTCTTTTAATTTTTCTTTCATTCTACGTGCTCGGAAGCACTGAAACAAGAATAGATTGTCAACTTTGTATCCATTTCCTCTTGCAATCAACAGGAAAATAATAAGACGAAAAAGAATAAAAGAAAATGACATCTCCTTACTGGAGAATCAAACAATGTTTTATAAACACAGAGACTTATGAAAATACCATGGGAATTCCCACCATGTCTACCAGGAATACTATCAAGACATTTTCATTCCCGAACAACCTACAAATTTTCACAAGAAATAAAATAAAATTTAGCATATCTTTCATCATCTACTCATATGTAGATTTGTTGTTGTGATTGTTGTGGGGAATTCATTCCACATGTAACTGCTTGTAAGCATCAGTAGAAGAAAGCAATTTGACTCTTTTTGAAAAATTATCTAAACTTACAATTCAAGCAATTTAATATTAAGGTTCTTAAATAACCTTTATTCAAATAGACCAAATTTCTTTCCCAAAAATAAAATAAGTCTCTATTGATTCAAATGTACCAAATTAAATACTCAACCTGTATTGAAAATAATAATACATGTACTCTATGTTTCTCTCTCAATATGGGTACCTTCGCAGAACTCGTATCTTCTTGAATTTGGCCTGAATCTCCACAAAGCAGCAGTTTCATCCTCTCTGTCAACCACTTCTTCTCCGTGTCATCCAGCTCATTAGCCTCACTCAAACAGAGAATATCAGAGCAAGAAAGATGCAAAATAAGTAGTGAGAATGACAGACATCAGATGTAAATGATAGTAATTTGGAGAGGCAAATAAATTTCAATTTGGCCGTTCGGTGTTTGTTCACAATTGCGAAACAAGTCTTCTGCGTCGATGAAACGATATCACTGACCGTTGATGCCAAACGTTGCCGTTTACCAATGATTTTCCAACTTTTTTAACTAACTTTAGTAATAGTAATAAATATTATTTTTTATTATTATTAGAATTTTGTGCTGAGAATCAGGCCATAAGCGTACGTGTGGCTGAGCAGGACCTTACCTTCAGAGCCTTGCTCCATTTTTGGTTGGTTAGAGAAGAAGGAAACCATGGCTGCAACCTTGTTGTTTTCGTGCACTTCGAGCTTAATCCATGCTTCACACTCCACATTATTTCTAGGTGTTAGGCGAAGGACACTGTATCTGAATCAATCAATCGGAATAACTCATGGAAGCCGGAAAATACACCATAGATTTGTATTGGTTGCGGCAACCGAAGGTTCTGCAAAATCCAGCAAGTCCGAAGAAAGTATCCCATCTTGGGCCAGACCAGATTCTGATGAGCCCCCTCCTTGGGCTCGAGATGAAGCCAATGGAAATGACAATTCAGTAAAGCAAAGCGTCGAGCTTCCCTTTTTCGTTTATTTACTTGCCTCAGCAATTACAGCAATTGCTGCCGTAAGTTCTTCTTCTTCTTCTTTTTTCCGCTCTATCTATCCTGAAAGGTGATGACTTGTTTCACTGATTAGAGTTGAAATTTAATGCAGATAGGTTCTGTGTTCGAGTATGTGAATAAAAATCCAGTTTTTGGAATTCTTAACTCCGACAGCATCTTCTACGCTCCAGTGCTCGGATTCTTTGCGTTTACTGGCATCCCCACTTCTGTAAGCATTTATTTGTTGAGAATTTGAAAATTTCTCAGCTGTTCTTACAATTTCATTATCTCCGCAGGCATTTTTGTGGTTCAAATCCGTTCAAACTGCTAACAAAGAAGCTGAGGAACAAGATAAGAGGGATGGATATCTTTAAACTTTTATCTTTGTTGGTACATGAGTACCTCTCCTGAATTTTCAATTCACTTTTGCTTCTCCTATTACATTTGTGCAGTTTACCTGTGAATGTCTTAGGTTATACTTATTGTGAATACTACAATTACCTTAGAGAACCATTTGTATTCTGACCTCATACTCAAGAATATTTTATATTTCTCAACAATGAGATATGTCCAGGTTAATTTGCTGGGTAACCGGACCTGTTTCTCTATCGTGTGTACAAGAATGATAGTTATTCTATAAGAACAGGAAACTGTTCTTGGATCATGCTTTCATTTAGTGCAATGACATCCAAAAGGATGTGGATTTTCACTCTAGCTTTTGAAAAAAGGGATAGCATTAGCACCTATATCGTTATATTGAGAGTTTTGCAACTTTAATACCATTTTTTTAGTGAAAACATCAAATTCATTGCAAAACTATTTAGCAACTGTTATATTGCATGAAGCATAGCCTTGTCTAGGTGAACTCTTGGCCAACAAATACCTGATACTTTTTTGGTGATTTGTATAGATAATTTCTGACTTTGCTTTGCTTTTATCTTGTTGACAAATATATACACTGTGAGATGGTCCTGATATGTTGGCAAAAGCATCAGCTAATAAGCACTCCCATGTTGAAGAAAATGAGAAATTTAACAGACTTGGGAAATTAAGACAAGGTCTAGATTAGACATGAACTTGGTACCTTGTAGAGTTTTTCTAGTAACAGAATTTTTTTTTCACATTTATTTAAACCGATGCCATTTAGTCTTCATATTTTAGAAGGTCATGGTGCCACACAGTTGTTGATGAATTGAAAATAGAAAGCAACATATGTTTAGGTCCATTTGTTGGTCGTGTTGGGGCAGTAGGAACAAAATATTAAGATAGTATCTTTCTAAATATGTAATGCTTTCAGTTGATTATTCATTTGTTCTACAAGAATTTTCTTAAAGTTTTCAGGTGTGAATGAGAGCCTGATTTTCATCCTTTTTTGATCGCTCAAGGTGCAACTAGCTACCTGGTCCTATTTATCTTTCCCTTTTTCCTTTCTTCACATTTAGGTCTATGAACACTGTTGCATCTATTAATCCCTTTTTGCGCTAGTCAACTTCTTAACCACAATTCATATTAACCCTAAAGCAAACCCTAAACACAATCTTAATTTGTCATCCCAATTAGACCTGCCACCGTTATCCTTTGTTACAAAGATGAACAGAAGATAGCTTTTCAAAGAGATATATTCATGGGATTTTCCAGCCACCAATTTGTGATGCGAAATGGAGTTCAAGACCTTATTGATATGATTTTGTAATTGGGTAGCAGTATATCTTGAGGCGCCCTAAAGCGCTCATGATATCATTATGAATGATAATGCATTAATGTTTAGTTTAGCGAGTTAGCATTGATTGAATTGCCTTGGTCAAGAAAGTCTTCCAGTGGTCTGGCACATATGTTAATTTTCAATTTGAGCCCATATCCAATGGAGTTTATGATTTAGAGAATGAATTGAGTCAGGCTAACTTTATTATAATCTATATGGAATACTAAACAGAGCAATCGTTTGACGTACTCACTTGGTGTACAGCCGATTCTTTATGAGACCAAATTTTGTTTTATCTCACTTTTTCTATTAAGAGAAAGGGTGGAATCTAAAGTGAGTGAATAATGTTTCAAATTACACAATGGAAATTTGGAACCATTACAAGATTGGGAGGCAGCTGTCTGTGGTGGTTTGTTCATATCTGCTTAGCAGAATGCTTTTGAGTAAAACTTTTCAATGTTACTTGGTTGATGCCTCTCATCCAAGCCCCCTCCTTATCCGAGGAATCTTTGGCGTATAAAATGAATGCGAATCGTCTCCGCAGAGTTATACACTTGTGAATTGCAGATCATTTAATGATACATGATGCATACTCTTGAAGGAGGACTTGTAGAGCACGGTTGTTGGTGGCAACGTTCCTTGCTTCAGTGATCACTGTCAGGTAACTTGGAAACACAATCAGAAATGATTTGAATATATCCAAAAAGAAGGATTTTTCTAGTTATTTTCTCTCTGATAGAGAAGCATTTGATACGAGCAGCTAGTAAGTTGGCTGCAATGCAGGGGTATAAATTATTCTATCTTAGGAAGAATCAAAAAATGTGAAAAGCTTGAAAGCAAGTGTTTTAGGAGTTTTCTTAGATAGAAACAAGGAAATGTGAGGAATCAAAAGCAGACTCATACGCATGCAAATTTTCTTGCAAAGGGACAACAGCATCTTAGACCTCAACGCTAATTTGCCACTAGTCAAATTTCACGGTATCACCTATATATTTATTCGCCATTTCCGAAGAAACCCAATCCTGTTGGAATGGAATCTTTTTCAGTTTCCCAACACTCCTTTTATGATATAGTCATAGTATATATAGATTCATTCCACGTGCTCTGAGTGTGTCTCAACCTCAGCACCACACTTCCCTACAGTTCCTTTTCTGTTTCTTTACTTAGCTCTCTATTTATCCGTTCCGTCCCATGTTTTCAATTCAAACATCAGAAAATTGTGTAGAACATAAGATAAAAAAGGTTGATGATAACTATCAGAAGGCCAAGAGACTGCAAAGAGCACAGTGGCTTCGGGCAGCCATTCTAGGAGCTAATGATGGTTTGCTTTCCACTACATCACTAATGCTTGGTGTAGGTGCAGCAAAAGAAGATGGACGATCCATGATCCTAACTGGACTAGCTGGAGCGGTTGCGGGTGCCTGTAGTATGGCTGTTGGGGAGTTTGTTTCCGTCTCTACCCAAAGAGATATCGAAAAGGTAATTGTTTCTCACAGCAGCTCAAAAAATGGCAGGGAGGATGCTCCTGCGATCATGATCAACATCCCTGCTGGTCTGGCTAACATTGAGCAAGAAACGAAGGTTGGCGAGAGTAATAGACGTGTCTCTACATCTCAACCAATGGAGAAAGCATCGCCAAGTATCATAGTTGAGGCTGTTCTGACTCCTGGGAGATTTCCTGTGAAAGAAGATGATACGGAGGAAGTGGTGATGACAAACCCCTATAAGGCTGCAGCTGCGTCGGCTTTGTCATTTTTGTGCGGATCATCTGTGCCGATGGTGCCTGCCATTGCGGTAACACAAAATGGTATTAGGATGATAGCCATTGCAGTGATTACTACAATGGCATTGGCTTTGTTTGGTGGCGTAGGAGCTTATCTTGGTGGTTCACCAATTAGGATGTCTGCGGTAAGAGTGATGGCTGGTGGTTGGATTGCAATGGGAATTACTTATGGGTTGCTTAAGCCTTTTGACAACGACGATAAAGAGAGTAAACTATAGAGATTGATTGTGTATTCATTTAAAACGACAGTGGAGACAATGGAGGATATATAAATGATTATATATCAAGAATTGTATTTTCATTAGATATATGCATAGCTGCTAAATGTCGCTGAATATTTGTCTGCTTGGTAAATCTAAAATATCTGTTTGTATTAAGAATTGAAAAAAAGAATCGATTTATAAGAATGGAACAGTAATTAATCTAATTTTATAAATTAAAATGTTATGAACCGAATTATTTGATGGATAAAAATAAATATTAAAAATATAACAAAATTAAAATAATAAAATTACAGAGTTAATTCACGTGGACGAAAAACTGAAGGGGATATCTTAATTTTGAAGATCAATACTTTGCCCATTTTTGAATGACGCGGATTTGACTCGTTTGATTCAGAGCGAGTTGGGATGGATATCCAACACAAGGGGTGATTTTGCCATCCCAAAATGCTGGGTCATCCTTTGACTTCCAAGACACCGATCCATTAATCGACACCTGTAAGAATGAGGGATGACGTGCAAACTTCAAAAACCACAGCACACCACTCAACAGGAAAACGTGTGCCCAATTGTTCCGTCTGCTAAGCATTTTGTCTTGTTTTTCAGGGAATTTTATCCTTTAACGATTCACAGTCATACGGTCATTGTCAATTACTGCGCGTAGAAAATAAAATAGCACTAACTAACAGGAACTAGAAACCACCAGAGACTGAGAGACCTCTGGCGGTAGGCCCAACAAAACCTACAGTGTCAATGGCGATTAAAAGGTTTCAAGTTGAAGTGGGATTCAATTTCTAACACCACATTAGGGTGGAAAAACGAGACGTATTGCGTTTTGCCGGTTTTTCTTTTTCCTGCACAGCAACAACAACGACAGACAGAGACAGGTATCAAAATTAATGAATGATGTCACATGGTAGGCGGAGATGGCAATGGCAGAAGAAAGAAAAGAAAACATAAAAAAATGGGGATGGAGATGGCAATGGCAGAAGAAGAAAAGAAGAAACAGAAGAATACTAATGGAGAGTTGACCATATTCAAATCCAGAGAGATATACCCAACGAATCTTATTCACGCAGTTGTAGCTTTGGGGTTATGGCTTGGCTCTATCCATTTCAACTTCCTCTTGCTCTTTCTTTCCTTTCTCTTCCTACCTTTCTCCAAATTCCTTCTGTTAGTATTTTTCTCTTCCTCTTTTTTCTCTCTTGAAGATATAAAGATTTTGAATTAAAAAACAATATAAAATGTACTTCTTTCCTTGCAGAGTTGTTGGATTGCTTTTGGTGTTTATGATTATTCCGATCAACGATGGCAGTAGGCTAGGTCGGCGTCTGTGCAGGTGCTTACTTTCTTTCTCCTTTCTTGATTTAAACTTGTTCTTTTCCTTTTATTTTGTTTCAATAATTATTGAAAGAAAAATATACACAGGTATATATGTAGGCACGCTTGCAGTCATTTTCCCATTACTCTCCATGTTGAAGATATAAATGCCTTTCGTTCTGATCGGGCTTATGGTTTGTTTCCGTTCGCTCTCCTTATTTTATTTTATTTTCATTATTTTCCTGCAATGCCTGTCATTTTTCCTTTGAGCAAGAAAGCTCAAGTCAATAAAATTTCATGACTTTTCCTTCTATTTCGGCAAATGCTGAACACCCCTATCTCAATACCATTTTACTGGAATGATTTAACTCGATCTAAATGCCTTGAGCATGATCTAAATGCCTTGAGCATCATTTTGATTCTGTAATCCAAATTATACTCTTTGCTTTATGCCTTTTGACAGGACTGTAGAAATTGCCCTTTGTGAATTTTGTGAATTGCTTTCATTTTTAGCTGCTTTTACATTAGACCTTGGATCTTTATGCTGGTTGTGAAATTTTGACCGGTTGGGTATTGATTTTACCTCCTAAACTAGTACAGCAGGTTGTTGATGTCATGGTTTCCCATGGAGTTCCGATTATCCTGTTACACTTACCACTTTAAAAAAGAAAAAAAAAAAAAATTTGTGACTTATTTTGTGCCAGTGACATTCTTATTTTGTGCCTCCTCCAGTCTTCGGTTATGAGCCACATTCAGTTTTCCCCCTTGGTGTGGTCGTACTTGCAGACCATGTGGGTTTCTTGCCTCTTCCTAAAATAAAGGTCCTTGCAAGTAGTGCTGTAAGAAACACCACCCTCTCTTCTGTTGCCTTGTATATTTTTAATAAAACCTTACTCTAGAGTTTGTCTTTCTCAACATATGTGGGATCAATGATTAGGTATTCTACACGCCTTTCTTAAGGCATATATGGTCGTGGTGTGGTCTTACACCAGCAACAAAGAAAAATTTTACTTCCCTCCTGGATGCTGGTTATAGTTGCATAGTGGTGCCTGGTGGAGTTCAAGAGACATTTTATATGAAACATGGAACTGAGGTTTTACTCTTCAAACTCGTATACAATATTTCATTTCCTTCTTAATGTGCATAGTTTTGAAATCTAAATTTTATTATTGCTTTTGCTCTTGGCAAGTTTGGATTTAGGATTTCTCATCTGGCATATGAGTAGGATTTATTTTGAGAATGCACAATCTCATGATTTTATTGTCTCATTTTTTGTGCTTAGCCATGCAATTGCATGGCCAATATTAAGTTGCTAATAATTCCAACTTTGGATGTGCAAGTACCTTTAGGATATCTTTCTTTGTTTTCCAATTGGAGGCAGAGACTGAAAAATTTAGTAATGAAAAACATTTTCTTTCCTGATTTCCTATCCCTATTCCCTTTAACTGAAGTGTCTTTGATTTCATTTTCTGATATCTAGTTCCATTAGTCCAAGGGAAGCCTGATATTTTTTCTTCTGGTTTCTCTTTCTTACTTGTGGGCATGGGGGTTATTAATAGCAGTGATTCATGACATGTTTGCTTGGAATTTCTATAAATTTCGTTTTAATAATAAGCTTCATCTAATTGCTCTTGTACTTTTTTTTTTCTTTTCTAAGTGTTCCATCATTGATTCCCTGCATCCCCCTTTTCCACCTTGTCTCTTCTTTATCTTACCTGGGAGAAATAATGCTCACACTTTTACTTCCCTGGTATGTGAGGTCCTTGAGGTGTTACTTAATTAGACAGTTGGGTTGCTTATCTTGCATGTTTCTTGTTCTGCAGATTGCTTTTCTTAACAAGAGAAGAGGATTTATTCGAATAGCTATGGAGATGGGCAAACCCTTGGTTCCAGTTTTCTGCTATGGTCAAGTATTGGTTCTTTTCCCTTTTCTTTTCATATTTAGGTGACGTACAGAGATGTTCTTTTATCTCCTAATTGTAATACCTGCTCTTTTCTTTCTCTTCTCTTGGACTTCGTCATTGAAGTGATTTTTTTTTTTTTTTGGGTCTTTGTTGCATTAATGGATACTATTTTTGTCTATTATACATTTTGGATCACCCAAAAAACTTGTTAGTTGTCTAACTTTTTTGTTTTCCTTTATTCTTGCAACAGTCACATGCCTACAAATGGTGGAAACCTGATGGCAAGTTATTTATGCAATTTGCTAGAGCTATTAAGTTCACCCCGATTGTCTTTTGGGGAATTCTCGGGTAAATATAGATGTGAAGAAACTTAGAAAACATTTGTGATTTTGAACTTTACACTTTATGTTTACTCTACGTTCTTTCTGTTGATCTGTCATGGATTTCATGTGTAGAAGCACTTAAATATTTTACCAGTAAATTTAGAACAGTGTAAATCGATGAAGTAGAGAAGAGACAACTAATTTACCTACTACATTTCCTTTGTTCGTGCCACATAGACTTAGGTCTGTATATATCTATGGTTTTCATTTTAATATACACATAAAAGTTTATACAGATCTGTCTCACAGTTTATGTCTACATGCAGTTGGATTTTTTGTTACTGTTTACTGAAAGAAATTGTTCTTTTCTGGTATTTATGCACTTCGTCTCTTTTCAGATCTCCTTTACCCTTCCAACATCCAATGCATGTTGTGGTGGGTAAACCAATTGAGCTGAAGAAAAATCCACAGCCTACCATGGAAGAGGTATGAATGATGCTACGATCTACTTGGTATAGTGTATTACATATGGTCTTCCGAAATTAACTATATGCCACAAGTGTATTTAATTTTTTTTTCTGGTTATGACTAAAGGAATGGAATTCCTTGTTTCTAACATAGTTAATGAGTTCATACTCCATACACATCTTTTATACCCTCTTGCTTTGTTTAAAGTGTTCAATTTTGGAGTGCAGAAACAATGTAATATGTTTTTGAGCAATTGCTTGCAAATAAATATATAGTTGATATTCCTGACATTTAGTGGCACATGTACTGCCTTGAGCAACTGACACTAAACCGAATTACAAGACAGCTACTTAAGCGGAAGGAGCCTGTATATGTATATGTATGTCTATGTGTGTGTATATATAAGTATTTACCGAGTTGCCTCTCATTGTCCCACTGTGGTATGTTTTTCTTTGCATTTGAATGGTTTTGCAGGTTGCTGAAGTACACAGACAGTTTGTTGCGTCACTTAAAGATCTTTTTGAAAGGCACAAAGCACGGGTGGGTTATTCAGACCTTAAACTTGAAATCCTTTGACCCCAAAGCCAGGAGCTTCATCTAGTTTTGCAGGATTTCATTGTCCTTTATTTATACCCTTTTTGTTCATATGTTGTATTCATTTGATGATGAGGGGAATGAAATGTAGCACAGCTAATAAGCCCTTATTGTGGCAATAAAAAGTTGTAGTTCCCATATGCACAAGCACTTGGTTAAAAATGGCTGAATTGGCCTGATGAGTAGGAGCAAAGTTTTGCATGTGCAGCACCCTATGACCATTTAGAAAAAGTGGGCTTGGTAAAAATTAAAAATTTGTCTTAAATGTTTATTTCTTAAGATCAAATCTGATAAAAATTTTAAGCTGAAGAGAGATCGAGAATTGCCTGTGTAGAAGAATCCATTCCTTTACTTCTAGGTTTTGTTGATGTTGATAGAGCTGAGGCTGTGGCCCCATCAAGTCATTTGTCAACCTGGCTTTGTAACTCTCCTTTCAATTAATTAAAAAAAAAAGTGTTTAATTTAATTTTTAATTAATAAATTGGAGCTGAGTATGAGGTTAATTGAGTATTTCGAATCTAGAAGCAAGATTCAATTTTTGAATCGATTTACAATTGATTTGAATTTAGCTATTTTAGACCTAAAAATAAATTTTATTAGTTACATTTTCTAATTGAATTGAAATTAAAAGCCAAATGATTTTTTATATCCGAAGTCATCCATGGGTAAAGTTACCATTAAGATTTTAATAAGGTATTAGAATCATTTGTAATTTTTGTATAAAAATAATTATCTAAAATTATTGTTTGTTATGCTTAAAAGTATTTTTTAGAATTCTATATTTAATTATGAAGGCTTGTTTCGGAGCCGATATCGTCTATACACCTAATGGGCAGCTCGTATAGGATTTTCTAGGCGATAATTTGGGGTCTCGTGGTCAGCCCAACATGTCTATCTCGCTTGCTTGATGCTTTATTAAGAATTTTATACGCGATATAAATTCATATGCAAAATCGGAGTCACTGTGAAAGCATTCGGCAATTTAGCCCAATATCTCTCGGTCTATTGCTTGGCATGCCATTTCGAGGGTATAATACTTCATCTAAGACTTGTAAGAGGCATTGGAATCATTTTCGGACCATTCCGTGCTGAAATTTCCGGACCAAAAATCAAAAGTATATCCCTTTGGTCTAAAAGCCCCGCGTGAAGGCTTGTTGCATAGCTGATATCGTCTATACTCCTGACAAACTGCTTGTATAGGATCTTCTAGCCGATAATTTAGGGTCTCGTGGTCAGCCCAACATGCCTATCTCGCCTGCTGTCCAGGATCATCTAAAAGAAATAAACTTGGTTACTCTTGAAAGCCCAAGAGCTACGCCCATTGGCAGAATGTTAAAGAAGAAATTAAAGCATAAAATTACTGACTTACCACGTGAGTTCAGAAACTATTTCACCTGAGTTTACCATGAAACACCAAGCTTGAAAAGAAGTTTGGTGGACTACAGATCACCATTAAGCTCGATTTTATCAACAGGCCTTAGTTGAAGAAGTATTCCAGTTTGAGTGAAATACAGTTGCATTAAGCATTGATCATTAAAAGTCGATCCCATGACAAAAAAAAAAAAAAAAAAAAAACTTAAAAGAAATAAACTTGGTTTACTCTTGAAAAGCCCAAGAGCTACGCCCCATTGGGCAGAATGTTAAAGAAGAAATTAAAGCATAATTAACTGACTTAACCACGTGAGTTCAGAAACTTATTTCACCTGAGTTTTAACCATGAAACACCAAGCTTTGAAAAGAAGTTTGGTGGACTCAGGATCACCATTTAAGCCCGATTTTATCAAACAGGCCTTAGTTGAAGAAGTATTCCAGTTTGAAGTGAAATACAGTTGCATTAAGCATTGATGCATTTAAAAGTCCGATCCCATGACAAAAAAAAAAAAAAATCACCTTTGTTAAAAATTAAGAATTGTGAATTAGAAAAAAAAAAAAAAAAAAAAATCACCTTTGTTAAAAATTAGATTGTGATTAAGGAAGTAACTAATCTTTTAAAATTATAACAAAATATTTATTATTTTGAAAAAATTACTCTTTATCTTACGTTATTAATTCTTATCAAGAAAATAATGATACTAAAAAATTATAGCAATAGATTAATGTGTTTAATATATAAAAGTAAAATTGAAAAAAAAATTTATTAATTGCTTCTTAATATTTTAAGCACAAATATTTTTATGGATAAATATATTCGAAAATAATTTATAATTATAATTGATAAACATATTCTGAAACGATTTATAATTATAGATAGAAGATGTAGCATATTTGATGAGATTACTGTTATATTTTGAAAGAGTAAATTTGTTTCATAAGCAAACATTTTATATTTAATGAGATTAGAGCATCTCCGATGTTAATATGGATTGTGACTGATGTGTCATGTGAAATAGGAGGTATGAATAATGACGTGGTTGAATGTCTATTTGTAGATAATGAATTTTTAAAAACTCTCTCCAATGTATTATTTTTGAATCTTTTTCCATTCTCTTTCTTTCTCTCTTTTCATATCCTACAATTTAATATGCAATTAATCATCAAAGAGCAATAAAAGTTAGCATTGTCTAAGAGATTCTCTAGAAAATAGAAAGTGCAGCAGACAATGTCAGTTGAATTTTTTTTACACATCAGCTTCACATCCTAAATTCATCAGCATTGGAGAACATTTTTCAAAGTCTTTTCATTTTTCTAATGTGACAATTGAATAAGAGCAATTCACATTTGCACCGGAGATGTTCTTACTGGTATTTTTTGAAAGAGTAAAATTTTCCACCATAAACAAACATCTTTGATGTTTCATTTCCACACAATTTTATTGAAGTTGTGGCCTACCTTTATTATTTAGTCATGCAAAGAAGATATCATCAATGGGAGCAAAGAGAAAGACATTAGTTAATAAAAAAACAATAACAAAAAATTTATCATTTTTATCATTTTAAAGTAAAAAAAATGATAAATTAAAAAAAAAAAAGAGGAAATAATAGAATATTTATAATATAATGAATCTAAGGAAATACAAGTTCCATTCTCATGGTGTTTAACAGCAGAATTAAAGAGAACGTGAATTTCTACTATCTGCTTCTATCACTAACTACAAAGGACGATGCTACTTAAGCCCCACGCACCCGTCCACACACACAACAACAAAGGAGTAATCAATATCTCTATTTACAATCAACAAATTACACTTCCCACCATTTGTCTGCCTAGCACCTGCAATGAGCCCAGCATTAGTTTGCAAGAGAGGGACGATACATACAAAGCCATTCGCATCTTAATCCTTCATGCCTAACTTAATATTTTGAACTTTAACAGACAACTCTAATTTCTGTTCCTCGATATCTTTCAAAACTGAAAGCAAGTTTGCCCGATACACTTCACACTTCCGCGTTGCACGTTCAAGTTGACGCTGTAGTTTTTGAATTTTCCTGTCCTGATCATCCTACAAGTTGGATATATACTTTTCAGAAACAGTTTTTAAGTAAAAAGATGGGAAAATTTTGAAAATCAATGTGGAAGCCATGAGTATGTTGATTCTACCATTCTACAAAGTAGATTGCATTTATGGGGGAAATCAAGAAATATAATTCTGCACATCAGCAATTAAATTGAGGGAAATAGCAATTCTATTTTCTATCAGAGCAAATGGCACTCAAGCTTTTTCTGGAAACAAGATCATGAAGTTTGCTGTGTGTATTGGCAATAAAATGATGCTTACCCTCGTCAACAAAATTACTAAGCAAAGAATGCATTGGTTCAAAATGATCAACGGAACAAAGTTGAACATTATAAGATACAGTAACAACTAATTGTTGAAAATAGCAATTTGCAATATATACATATACATAGAGAGAGAGAGAGAGAGAGAGAGAGAGAGAGAGAGAGAGAGAGAGAGAGAGAGAGAGAGGAAGAAGAGAGAGAGAGAGAGAGAGAGAGAGAGAGAGAGAGAGAGAAGAGAGAGCCCAGTTAACCTCAAATAGCTATGTTGCCAATAGCTATAAGGTTTCCAAGCTGGAATAATATGGTTGTCCATCGATAATCATGCCAATGAACAGAGGCATAGGAGTAACTGAAATTAAATAAAATCTTACGCATGTAATATTAAGGATCAACATTGATAATTATATCATAAAGATGGTCAATGACCACAGGAAGATAGGCCAGAACAAAATACTCTTGGCAATTATCAGAATAAGGGCAAAGAGAGAGAGAGAGAGAGAGAGAGAGAGAGAGCCAGTTACACCTCAAATAGCTATGTTGCCATAGCTATAGGTTTCAAGCTGGAATAATATGGTGTCCATGATAATCATGCCATGAACAGAGGCATAGGAGTACTGAAATTAAAATAAAAATCTTACGCATGTAATATTAGGATCACATTGATAATTATATCATAAAGATGGTCATGACCACAGAAGATAGGCAGAACAAATACTCTTGGCAATTATCAGAATAAGGGCAACACTCATGCCAAGTGCAGTTAAAATTTCATCTATTCTTGGCACTAAGCATCACCATGATTCTAGAACCGCTGGTTTCTGTTTTAAAATTGTCAATTCTAGTTATAAAAAGGTTGGAACCGGAACTAAACCACTTTTAATTAATGTTTAAGCCAGTTTTGGTTCCACTCCAGTTTGGAATCGAAATTGGATAATCTTTTTTACGAACTTTTTAAAATTTTCTTTTTAAAAGTTTTGTAGCTTGAATAAATGAAATGATAAATAGACTATTGAAAAAGACTAAACCAATTTAATAAAAACTCTTAAAATTTATTTTTAGAAAAACATATTGGGAGTTTCTTTGAAAATGTTCTTTTTCAAGGTTTCACACCAGACCTGCTGGATTTAAAACCAAAGCCGTCCAATTCCAGTTTCAAAAAATGAAGAATAAGAACCGAACCATAAACACAAGTTTTCAGCTATAGTTTGGAAACGGGAACTATTGACTACAATTTGGTACTGGTTTTAACCATTTCAGTTCTGGTTCGAAACTGAATCATGGTCATACCTACTTGGCACATATATGAAGCATTAAGAATTTCATGTTGTCATCAGAAATTTGCTATTTTGGGAATTTGTGATGTTTAATAGGAAATTCTTTTCATTTAGGCATCTGCACTTGTTTGATTCCTACTCAGTATGTGTTAGACATTTGTAAAAATTGCAGTCCTTGTGAAATGAGGATACGTTAAAGATCTCTTAAAACTTGCAAAAACTTAAAGTTTCCGTGAGAAAACTGACTGGCACTGCCACATGCTTAATTTATTTTCTTTGTTTCCCTGCTCTTTCATTCAAAAGCAGCAACCCAGCTGAAAAGGCAAAGGTTCCTGGTCATCACCACCCAACATTCCTCGATCTCAATCTTTTCTCGGTTCTCAATATACCATTTAAAACCTGAAACTCAACATAATTTCCAAGCCTTTTGCCCTCCAATTAGGCATTCAATAAATCCTAGATTTTTGTATCTCTAAAAGGAAAAATACTTCAACCTGGTCCTGTGATTCCATCTATTCATTCTTTGCTCCCAAATTGCACTTAATTCAAAGATCCTAGACTCCTCCCTCTTTGATTCAAACATTAACTATACCTTTTTGTTTACAAGCCTTACCCACCATAATAATCATAAGCTGCTTTCCCAATTCCCCTATATCAGTAGGAAACTTGAAACCTAAGTGTCTTGTGCAGTAGGCAGTAGCCAAGGTACTGTCAATATTTCCCTCGAAGAAGTTGAAGAATTACTGTGCACACAAGAGATTGAAACAGAGGAGAAAATCCAATAATAAGGGCACGTATTTCCTTTTTGACAAAGAGAGCACTACAACCTTTAACAGGAAAATTTATTTCTAAGATACTAATAATTTTAAGAAACACTACACTAGAATCAACTAACACCCTTTTTTGCAGGAAATTACAGAAAAGGATTTTGCTTCCACTAACAAACTTGCCCATAAGTAAATTAGACTGAAATTGTCCAAAGATACTGTATAGCAAAAGGTTTAAGTTTCCCAATATTAAAAATAGTTGTAGAAAGCCACTGAATATCTTTTAGATGAGTACTAACGTTAATATTCTATATTTCTATCATCTGTTCATTGGAAGCATAACACTGCAGTCGAAACTTAACAAATGCAAATTTAACATACGTCCTCCACTTACAATTAGCAACATATATTTTCCTAAGCTAAAAATATAAGACAGAAAAATGGGCAAAGCAGTTGATAGAAAATCAAGATAAGCAAGAAGAAATAAGCATTTGATATGTGTACGTGTGCTGTGAATGACACAAATGACTGACCATAGATGCAGGTGGTTTTAAACTCCATTTCTGAGTTCCAGAGGTGTTATTTGCCCATCTTCGTTGATGGGGATGATCTTCTGTGCCAGCTCCATTTGTAATTACAACTGCCCCACTATTCTTTTTTGCAAGAACCACCTTATTTGCAGCCTCTTGTAAAGCTTCCATAGCAACATTGTAAATTTCTACACTTTTGACTCCCTCATCAACGTACTTGAGGGCTTCATGGCGAAGATTACCATATCTAACAGTATGAGATTCTCGTGATCTAATGTGCAAAGTGCTGGTATGTTCCTCCAATATTACACCACTCTTGGCATTCCTTGTCCACCGTTTCAAAACATAGTGAGAAGGTAGTGTGAGAACATTTTTCACCCTAAAAACTGTCAATATATGTCTGCAAAGAAGGCCAGAGAATTCAAACATCTGGCAGCTACAGGTAGCTTTCATCTCATGAACATTAAAACTGACAAAGTAAGCATTATGATTTTCCTCAAACTTTGCAACTCGATATACGGTTATTGCCTCCTCATCCTCAACTTTGGTTGCCAGGAAAGTTAATGTTTCAACCAATTCCTCTTGAAATTTCACAAACAACTTTTTTGTGTACATCTCAGATGCTTGTTTCTCCATGGGCGAAGGGGTTTTGAGAACTGGAGCAGTGTTTATTGTATCATAATCTGCCTTGACTTCTTTCTCATAGCGACTTTCCAGAGCCTTTTCATACTGCTTAACAAACAACTGTAGGGTTGTTGACGCATTGATGTATCCATCAAAGTAAGAATTGATGCTATCACTGCGCTGGGTTATAGACATTTCTGCAAAGAAAGTGTCCCTCAAGTATGCTGGCACCCACTGTCGTCGATCAGAATAAATTGATTGTAGCCATTCATGCTCCTTGAGATGATACGTATCAATCATAGACAACCAACAGGATTCAAACTCTTCAATTGACTCTGTGAGGTTGACACATTTGTGGAGCTCTGGTTCGAAACTGGGATGTTCAGACAGTACATGGGACAATTTCTCTTGGCATTCGTTAAAGATATGCCACTTGCAGAAGCGGTGACGAGTTTCAGGAAAGACTTGGGTAACAGCTAGACGGATTACCCTGTCATGATCAGTAGTGATTGAAACAGGAGGCCTTCCAGACATCGCCACAAGCCATGTTTTAAAAAGCCAAATAAAAGATTCCTCGGATTCATTTATTAGGAGTGCACACCCAAACAATACAGGCTGTCCATGGTGGTTTACTCCAGTAAAAGGTGCAAAGGGCAACCGATAACGGTTTGACCTATAAGTAGTGTCAAAGGTAACAGTGTCCCCAAAGTAAGTGTAGTTAGTCCTTGCCTTAGGATCAGCCCAGAAGATATTGCTCATGCATTGATCTTCATCACCCTGTACAGCATAGAAAAATGCAGGATTCTCAGAATGCTTGTTGCGCAAGTAGTCCAAAAGTAGCTGAGTGTCACCTCCGAGGGTTCTTTGGCGACTACTCCTCATGTAATTCCTACAATCGCGCTCAGTGAAGCCAACATTGCTGATTCCCCCATATTCTTTGATAAGTGCAGACATGATTCCACTGGGACCAATGCCAGCACCCTGCAAGGTATCAATCAAGGACTTGGCAGAGCCAGAGACATGGCGGTGAGAGCGGAGGCAATGCACCTTGTCAGGAGGGACAAGCTCATGGTTGTGTTCTTTGACAAATGCAGAAACAGCCCATCTGCCAGAATCCCGAATTTTGACAACCAACATTGCCTTACAACCAACTCGAGTTTCAGCACGGGGCCGTTTGACACGGGTATCAGGACAAGCAGGCTTGTCCTTGTCAACGCGAAATCCCTCTTTGGCACAAACAAAAGAACGCTGAATAATGGCACCATCACGCCTAGAACGGCGAGACATACTGACACGGGTGCTGAAGCCAACGCGGCGAGCATAAGAATTATAGAAGGCCTTGGCAGCCTCCTCAGATTCAAATTCCATTCCCTCATAAGGTTCAAGATTAGTGTCTCCTTGAGGGATGTAGAGCTGAGCAGCAGTGGAACTATGAGAATTTTGGGAATGGTAGAAATTGCGGAGAGGATGGATGTGTTGTTTTTCTTCTTCTCCTTGTTCATCTTCTACTTCTTCATGCTCATCAACATCAACATTGACATGAATAGGGTGTTGGTGGATGTCCATGGTATCATCTCCCAAACCCATCATGTCAAATTCAATAACTTCATTTGCCATGCTCACTGGTTCCAACTCCATATCTCATTCATATCAAATCACATCACATCATATACTATTTAGTAGTTAATGCAATACATAGACCATCAAATAGTTTTGAATATTATAGCTGGATTAACATTGTTGGTAAGACAAATAATACGGTAAAGCAAGCAAATCAAAGACAGAATTTTTGAATCAATTCATCACATACTGAAAATTAGAAAGACTGCAAAATTGATAGAAAACTGACCCCAGCTTGTCAGCTGCTTTCTTGCTTTTAGGGATTTTAAAATAAACTCAGCTCAGGTAAGTGAGCGAACAAGATACTCTCTCTTAAATCCAGCATTTGAAAACCAAAGACCAAATGATTTCATCTCGCTAACATTTGTTCTAAAGCTGTTGGATCCTTATCGTACTCCGCTTTCATTACATTCTTCTTCTTCTTCGTCGCCGCCATCGTCTTCCCCTTGGTCTTCCTCGGTTCTTCCCGGACTTTAAGTTCATACCATCGCTGCAATATTAATTTGCAGTCCACAAGCTTTATTGGCAGCTGTTATTTATTTTATCTGTTTATATATAAATGAGTTTTTGTTCTTTATATATTATTATTATAATAATAATAATAATAATAATAATAATAATATAGAAAGAAACTCCTCAATTTTTATTTCCCGCTAAAATAAAGAAAAAGAATAATAAAACAGAACTATACAATTTTAGTTTTTTCTTTTATGTTCTTTTTTTTTCATTCAATCCTCCTGTAATTATTATATATATTCTGAAAATTTTTCATACAACCGGGTTCAAGGCTTGCAGGTGTATCCTTCCATTGCTTTCCCTTCAAATAAATCTTCAAATAAGAAATTGCGCCTTTGATTTCAGAACTAAAGCAATCTTAAGGGAGAGAAAAATAACGATTTCGACACTAATTCAAAATTATTCTCTCCAAGAGGACAACGACAACAAATATGTTGTTCATTAATGAGGCCATTTAATTTTTCTATGAGGAAGAGAAATAACGAGTTCAAGGGAAAACGATCAGTAGATAATTACAACATATGAATAAATTTATGGCATTTTAATTCACTTTTTATATCCTAATTTGCTTTTAGAACATAATTGTAAATAGATTGATAAATTTAGAACGCCTAAGATACAAAAATCTATTTAAGTTGAAGATGCTTAGTGCTTTTACATTTATAAAAATCCTATCTCGGTCCCTACTTGGAATTTATATAATACATTTTATATTAATCATAATTACTAGAAGATTGAAGTTAAAAAAAAAAAAAAAAGAAAGAAAAAAACAAAACAAAACAAAAAGTTAGTTTGGAATTAAAAATTTTAGCTACTACTTACATATGGAGCACTTAAATCTATCCTACAAGCCACAAGAAAAACGTTGACCAAAGCGTTAGCGAAACTGAGGCCAACGCATAAGTCCATAGCAGAATTACAGAGCATTCACTCTCTCCAGTTCCAAACAACTGTGTCATTGTACCTGCAGGATTAGGATTCATCTACAGTTCAGTTGAGAGCTTAACGGTTCTCCAATGATAATAACAATGACTAGTTACTGGACAATACCTATGTTCATTGCTGGGGGAAGTGCAAATTGAAGCAGAAGAACAAATTGATACAATGGATCTGACTTCACCAATCCCAAGTAGACTGCAGATTTAACAGTTATTACCCCAGAAATTGGTAACAGAACATACCGAACTACTATGATCCCGAGGACCACTGGAAGCTGGACCTCTGAGCCTTTTAAACCTGAAAAGCATCCAGTATGTGTTTATCATTATTATGATTACTTGACAATCAGGGAAGCTTAATGGATTTTCAGTGCTTGTTTACCTTTAAGAAGATTTGCCCCAACGACCAAGGTAACTGTTGGAATGGCAGCCTCCCTGCACGCATAAAATAAAAAGGATTGCTAGGGAATCAAGAAATGTTAAGTCATCAGAAATTGAAAGCATTTGTTTTAGGTTGATTGGGAATCAAGACAGGATTCTTACCCAAGCAAAGACACAGAATCCTGAACCACACGGAGAGGAGCATTATCATCAATTAGAGCCTTTCGGAACTGAGGGATGGCACCAATTATAAATCCAACAATCTATAAAATATAGCACTAAGTATTTTCAGTTTACCATTTCTATTGGATCTTTGAAATTTATGCTAAAGGAACTAACAAGATCAGATGTTCTCAGACATGCAAGCTTATGAGGTATGTAGTTTTATTGCGTTCCTGCTTTGAAAAATGTGCTTTCCAGCTAGAATTAGTCCTAGATGATAGATTAGCATACCGCTCCAGCTGTTGAAGGTGCAAACAATCTCCTGAAATGGAATTTTTTAACCATTTGTAGACCATGCTTAATCTTCTCTACAACTGACCTCTGTCATGAGATTTTCACTAGGTAAGATAATAATCTCATGAAATTTACATTCTATTTTGTGGAATCAGAAGAAAAAAGCTATCAGTAACATTGTGAGAGAACTCAAAATGAGCATAACAAGTTCTCTGTGAGAAATACTTATGGCAGGGAAGCAATAATTTTGTACACTCTTGAATATTTGCAACATAATTAATATGTTATGGATCCCCATTGACTGCGAACATGGCATGGGGGGAGGATAGTTGCAACAGAATTAATATCTTAAGCTCCTTGAACCGCATTGAAACTGTCCCTAACTATCCTACTCATGTGCTAGGCGCAATTTGGGTGTATACTCTTCTGATGCATTCCCCCATGCCATGCCTCCAGAACAAGCATTAAAAGCTTAAAGTTGGTATGCAATTTATTTGTGCATGTAATTTCTCTCCAAAGATATGCTCAAGATTTATCTATGGCACTAAATTACTGGGGAGAGCCTAATGGAAACTCAAGAATGTAGTAACAGTACCAGAGTAAAATAGATAATTTAGAAATCATTGATGTTCAGAAATTATAACAGTACTATACCAAAACAGAAACTTGGTCTCAGAGCTCAAGACAAGCAAAATATCTATCATAACAATTTCATATAAATGAAAAATGGAATATAACAGCCTGAAAAGGATAGTAGAGAGTGCAGACAGATATAAGCTGCAATGTTGAAATATCAACTACCTTTACCTTTTCCTCAGACACTGTGCAATCAAGTTCAAAATGATTTGTATGGTCCTCATTGGGTGAGTGATTTTTCAAAGGAAGCAGTGGCCCTGCAGAACATTTTGAAAGGTTTTCCGTTGTTTCTCCTGGAGAATTTGCAACCTTGGTCAAGTCATCCAGTTTGGCCCCTTCACAGTTATTGCTCGAGTATATACGCATAATGTTGTAGACATAAGACCACATGTAGACAGCTCCAATCTGAAATTTCAATGCCAAGATAATGAGATAATTCAAGATCACACGTAAACTGTAACATTCAAGTTAAAATAAAAAGGTCTTACTGCCATAGAGAGTGAAGCATATGCCAGTCCGTGTTTATAACAGACATCAACATCTCCAAATGGACTGCCTCTTTCTTTACATACAGCAGGAATGATTATCAGAGGCATGTTCCCCAGATTTCCTGTTAACATCAACATCACCATTATGAACTCACTCTTATTTGATTGGCAGACTGACAACACAATAAGGGCACATTTCGATCTGCTATCAATGACTTTATCTCATTCATACCCATGGCAAATGGATTAACTCATTCGCCTAAAGATACTGCTTGCCATATAGTGAGACAACAGTTATATTATTACAGATTATGAACCAAAAAATCATTAAATTTTGCAATTAAACCTGTAGATTAAAAACACTCACCTGCAGAACAACATCCTAACACGAGGCCCCTTAGATCATGAGGAGCTCGAGTACTTCTAATAAGCAACCATCCAAGTATTGAGCCAACAATAAATGTGATAAGAATATTGAATGGCATGAACCACCTAAATGATTTGACCAGAGCTTTTCTTAATCAAGTAGCAGGAAAAAGATCTGAAACTGAAAATAAAAAGTCCTGATTTGTTTGGAAAAGGATAAGCTCACAATGTTTCCATGCTTTTAAGCGTAATATATGTTGCCAGGTTGCTACCAACAAGTGCTGGATTGAATATGAAAAACACAACCTGAAGAACAAGATTAGAATGTAAATTTCCTCAGTTTAGCCTTTTCAAGTAATTAAACAAAGAATTCAAGTTAGCTTCAATTTCAAACACACTGGTAACTATTACATCTTTATGCTAAGCCAACAAGGAAAAAGAAAACCAAACCAGCGAAACTTTTACCAACTGGATTTCAGATTTAATATTCTTCTCCTTCTCTACAAATTCAATATTATACATTTCTAGTTTTCTTCATCTATTTACATTCTTTTTCCTAAAATTTGAAGAACATTGCCTGCCACTGACTAAGACATTTGACCAAAAACATAAAAAAAAAATCATCAAACTGATGTTCATTTAGATAAATATTGTTCCATATTAGCTATATATGCACTATTACAAATAAACTGAAAATTAGAAACACTCACATTATTCAAATGCTTTCGCGCATCCACTCCCAGTACACCTAAACGATCAGTTGCCAGAAATGAGCCCAAAGCAGTAATCAACAATACTTTCAAAACCGGCATTAAAGCAGCAGTAAAGAGATCCAAAAGCCCCATAGAAACGTTCAATTCCTAGCTCTGGATTCTCACTTTACTAAGAACAAATTAAACAAACAGATGGTAGGAGCTCCAAATTTGAAACAGAAAATTCATTGCTATAAAATATAAAATTTCATTTTCAGGCTTCATTCTATCAATAAAAGTAAGAAAGATTACAACGCAACGTTACTTACAGGAAGGCTAACAATGGCAAAAGCGGATAGGTACTATAGTACTGAATCAATGAAAAGGAATCCAAGTTAAGTGTCCAACTATCTGTTTAGCCATTTGCAGTGAAGAAGCTGATTATAATGCAAAACTTCAATTAATGGAAATTTCAGATTTTAGAATTTGAGATAGAAAGACAAGGACAATCCACCATGAAATGTTAATTAATGCTTGAAAAATCCAAGAAAAATAATAATTGCAGATTTTTGTGTGGACAAATGGCATTTTCAGAGAGAAAACTACAGAACAGAGTGATTTTTTTTTTTTTTTCTTCTTCTTTTTTGGCTTTTGTGTATGGTTACGATCTCATTTCAGGCACACTACCAGAGCGAGTTCTCAGAAAAGAAATGTCTCCAGCGACAATTCCTGTTTCCCCGCTCCGGCACTTGGATTGCCAAGCTGCAGCCACGTATTCATTCAATCTAACTGAAATGCCACGTCACTTTCCCTTTTCTTTTTGTTCTTTAATTATTGTAAAATTTGGGCTCTGCTTGGGCCCTCTGCCTCTGAACCATAACCTAGGCTCCATCTTGGATATGGATTTCAGTAAATGTTTCGCATTTTTTAAAAGTAAATAATATTTTTAGAACCAGTTATCATTAGACAATATTTGAAAAGAAAATTTCAATTTTTTATTTTCTTAAATTATATTTATTTTCCATCAAAATTAAAATCCATAAAAATTATTATAAAAATAAATTGTTTTTAAAGCTTCAACATGCTTCATCACGTGATGTGAATTTATAATATATTTAGTTTTTCATGTAGCATTTAGTGTTTCTATTAAGGTAAATATTACCTCCATTATTTATAGTGTTTAGTGATATTTATAATGTTTTTACTTATGTTTCGAGCAGATTACGAGTTAAATTTGTGTTCTCATTTTCACGAAAATTGATATCGTTTATTACCTCAACTGACATTTTAATTGATAATACTAGTAAAATATGTGACGGTTATTAGGACAACTAACCGGTCTAAAACAGTTAATTTTACTGTATAAGGCGTTGGTTAGCAACAATTGGTTAATTGCAGGTTAATAAAAAATGTACGCATTAAAATCGAACACGTGTACTTGTCAAAGATTTGTTTGTCATCCTTACGCTATAAGATTGAATTTGTAAGCATTAATTTTGTTTGTCAAAAAAATTACTTGAACATATAGCTATAAAAGTCAAAATGCAAGGTGTCAACGTCTTCAAGCCAGCATCCACAAGAAAAATGTTGACCAGAGTGTAAGTGAAACTGATGCAAAAGCATATGTCCATAGCATTATCACAGAACATTCACTTTGTCCCCTTCCAAACAACTGGGTCATTGTACCTACAAAATTACAAATTCAAACCAAATATTTTCATAATTATTGATTGAACCAGCAAACCAAAACATTCTTTCAATTAGGCCAAACTCAAGCTTACCTATGTTCATTGCTGGTGGAACTGCAAATTGCAACAGAAGAATAAACTGATACAATTTATCTGAATGCACCAGACCAAAATGTACTGCAGTTTTGACAGTCACAACTCCCATTACAGGCAGTAAAACATACCGAACTATTAATATTCCAACAATGAGTGACCATCGAATTCCTGAGCCTTTTAAACCTGAATTCCAACACACAGCTTCTGTTAAAACCAATCTTTTTTATGAATTAGTTTCCAACATGATTTGAACACACAATTTCGAGACAACTCAAGCACAAGTAAGCCAAAGGTCATTGATCGATTATTTGAAAATTTACCTTTAAGAAGGTTTCCTCCAACTATCAGAGTCACAATTGGAATAGCTGCATCTCTGTAATGTAGGTTAACCAAAAATATATCAATTTACTTTAGAACTACAGTTAGGTGAAAGCTAGGATGTGTACCCAAGTAAATAAGCAGAGTCTTCAATCACACGAAGAGGAGCACTAGCACCGATCAACAACTTCCGAATTTGAGGGACAACTCCAATCGCAAATCCCACAATCTATGCAAGAAATATATGATTAAGTCAGTTAAATTGCAATCGTGTTCATTTTTCACACCATTAAATCACATTTTGATACTACTTCTCCTGTTCAATGCTCATACGTGCTTCGCCTCGAGTATCTCAAACTAATATGTCACCATATTGAGGAGTTAGAATGCTAGATGTGTTCCAGACATATTTGAGATTTTCTTTATAGCAAAATGAAAATAGCCATAAGGGATTAGGAAATACCGCTCCAATAGTTGAAGGTGCAAATAGTGCCTTGAGATTAAGTTTTTCTGAAATCTTCCTTGATCTTTCCTTAATCTTGTCTATGAATTGTGTCCATGACAAATTCTACAAGTAATCAAAATAAGGAACTCTTAAAAACTCGGTTGAGAACCGTTGAGCCAAGGCTCAGAGTACTAAGAGGACATTAATTAGTTCAAAAAGACTTGATTTTTTTATTGTTTGGGATATTATGCAAACTTGGTAAATGAAAATAGTAGTCATAGTCATGACCATGAAATGAAAGTTGAAAGGCAAGAAATTCAATAACCTTAACAATTTCCTGATTCTCTGGTAGTAAAGGAGATGCAAGCTCAGCAGAAATTAAGCTCTCTTTTGAAGAAAGATCTACAGAGTAATAATTCCCTTGGATGCATTTTGGTGCTCCTACAGTTGTCTTAATGTTAGTTTCAGTGTCTGAGTCAGCATTGTCAACTTGCTGGTTCATCTCACTAGAAGAAATCCTCATGATGTTATAAACATAAGACCACAAGAAAACAGCTCCTATCTGAAGTTACAAAACAGAATTTCTTGATCATATTCATAGTCAAAACATGAAAACAGAAAAAACCCATCAATTAATTAAAGACAAAGTTAGTCAAAAATCATACTGCCATGGAAAGTGAAGCATAAGCAATTCCATAAGTATAACAAACATCAGGTGCTCCAAATGGACTGCCTTTCTCTTTGCAGATTGCTGCGATAATAATCAAAGGTAAATTTCCCAGGTTTCCTGCCAGAAATATGAGGTCCTTCATTTTATTTCAAAAATGCAAATTAACAAAGCAAATTTAAAAAATGAGGTACTTCCAGAATTAATTGATGAAATCCTCCACTGCATAATTTTTATTATTCAGAATTTAAAATGCAGTTTGATTATTTTATATACTATATGGTTTATTACTCATACAACAATAGTGAAGCCTTAGTCCCAAACTAGTTGGGGTCGGCTATACGGTTTATTACTCATATCATTTATTAATGGTTGAAGAATGTTCAAGTAAACAGTTTTATATGCCTCATTTATTATATCAACACTTCTCAGAGAGCACACAGATAGATGCTTCTTGCATTGGTCTCCCTTTTTTATTAGTAGCATAACCCTCTGCATGTGGGATGTGCAGGAGATGGATGAATTTCGTACCTGCTGCACAGCAACCCAATATTAGGCCTCTTAGATGCTGTGGAGTGGCTGTGACTTTTATGAGTAGCCATCCCAATATAGAGCCAATAATAAATGTAACAAGGATGTTCACTGGCATAAACCATCTGCAATGATACATGACAAATAGTTGAACCAGAAATTCAATAGAAAGTAATTAATTGAGCTAACAGAAATTAAATTTAATTAAGAATGTAGGTTAAATAAACTAATGATTGCTCAAAAAGAAACTCACAGTAATGAAATACTCTCAAAAGTGATTGTTTTAGCTAAGTTGCTACCTATAAGTGCTGGATTAAACACATAGAAAACAACCTGGAAAATTGTGAACATCTATGTCAGAATATGTGTGTGTGTGATTCTTATCTTAATGAAAAAAAAAAAAAAAAATTTATCTCGTCTTAATTACTTACTGAGTTAATTTGCTTTCTTGCTTCCTCCCCCAAGACATTTACATATTCCAGTGCTAAAAATGAGCCGAGTGCTGTGATTAAGAGTACCTTCAAAACTGGCATAGATGCAATCACAAATAGATTGAGGAGCTGCATGATGAAAGTTGCTGCTGTAGATACATACACAAAGTGTACAAAAAAGTAAAAAGTGAGTTAAATCAAGGCCTCAAGCATCACCTAGATGAACTTATGAAATTCTTGGACAGAAACATGAAAAAAACCAAGTAGAAACAGCCAAGAAAAAGAAAAAGAAGATAAAAATGGAAGTCAGAAATGTGTTTATCACCTTCCTTTTGTTGTCTTTTGTGTGTGCGTGTGTGTCTGTGTCTTATCAAGAAAAATAAAGAAAAGGAATTTATTAGTTCTTGTAAGGAAAGAGTATTTACTATTTATAGCATGGGAAGAAAAACCAGAGGAGTCGAAGAAGTGGGCTAAAGATGCAAGCATGTAACTGACCGCTTTAAAGAGGAGAGCAGGACGCTCTTCATTTCATTGGCCTATTTGCCATTCAGCCGGTGCCTCCACCACTAATGCTGCGTAGCACAAACGCTCAAATCTTAACAATTCTTCCGCTGCTCTTATTAGACTGCGCACCACAACAATTTTTTTAAGTAGTTTAAACATTTTTACTTAACATTATTTTTTATAATATGTTTTAAATTAATTTTTAGAGATTAAGGTAACGTTTTATAAAACGTTAAGTATGTAATATTTAGGTTTTAGTGTTTGAAGAAATGATACTAAACAGTTAATAGCTATCAAAATAGCTAATCTTTTACCAATATTCTTCAATAAAATATTTTCTCTACTAAAAACAAAAGACGAATAGGATTAATTTACTTATTATTCATAAGTAATTAGATTACCATTGAAGTTTAAATTTATGCATTTTCATAAATGATTTAAATCAATTTGTTAATTGGTTTAAGTTTTATGTTATGTTTATTGTCAAATATATTGGTTAATAGGAAAATATAATATTCTTTATTGTTATTTTTTATATTTATTTCTCTAATGCATTAAATGCATGCATATTTTTATTATTTATATAAATGGTTGATTGTTGGACTAACAAAAATATAGAAACTCATCGATATTGTTGTGAGGTCCCTTCAACATGTGGGATCCACGTACATTTGAAAAGAAAAAAAAAAAGAGCACGTATTTGTTGTTCAAAAGAAACACCAAAATTAAAAATGAGTACGCATTTCTTTTTCAACAAAAGTTGGCGGATGATTAAAACGCATCCCCTTCTCCTATAAATAGGAGAAGGGTTTCCTCAATGAAAATGTACAAAAACAAATAGAATAGAAATATACAAAAAGTGTATAAAATTTTAGGAAATGGTTCCTAAAATTGGGAAATTCCTAAAATTGGGAAAGAGAGAAAATAGTGAGGAAACTAATTTTTGGGGTGTTTTTAGGACACACTTAGAATTCCACTATTTTTGTAGTCTCTTTTGTACCTACTATATTTTTAGTAGAAGAATTATTCGGAGTTTTTGTCTCATGGACGTAGCCCATAACAGTTGAAGGGTAAACCAAGTAAATGTCGGTGTTCTTATTTTTTATCTAGCATTTACGGTAATTATTTAATTTTTTTACCGTGGTGATTATTTCTGGTGGATTCGATCGACAATATCCAATACGAAATTATTGGAGATATGTGTAATAGTAATTTTATTTTTACTTTTACCGGTAATTATTTAATTTTTTTACCGTGGTGATTATTTCTGGTGGATTCGATCGACAATATCCAATACGAAATTATTGGAGATATATGTGGTAATAGTAATTTTATTTTACTTTTACCACCGGTATTTATTCGCGGGCCCCACTCAGGATTAGTTATTATCCCAACAGATATATATTCCATATATATATATATGCATATTATTTCCTTTTTAATAAATTTTCAATTTTAGTTTTTAAATATTAAAAGAGGAGATTTAGACCTAAATCTATTATCAAGTCATACGTATACTTACCACTAACTTATGTCCTAATGCGTCAGTTTTGTGCAAGTACATTAGGTGGTCATTGATTATTATTATTATTATTATTATTATTTTGAGGATGGGGATGGGACTTAGCAAGAGTCCGAATTTTTCTGGCTCCCTTTGAATGTTCGCTAACTGATAAGAACAGTGGGTAGATATTCCAAATTTAATATTGGAAAACAAATTAGCAGATGTTGAAAATTTATTAATACAGCCTAAGCACTTGGACTTGTCAGTTATTTACTTATTTGCACAGCTAGCATTTATCATATTGCTATATATTTTCAACACAAATATATCTAAAATATTGATTTGACGTATTTTGAAATAATAATTTCTTTACAAATATAAGTATTTAAACGATCTAATTTCATAAATTATAATATTTGATAAGATATAATTATATTAATATTAATATTAATGTGGTTTATTAAACATAATTTTAATTCAATAATTCAAATTAGAAAGTATAAAAGGAAACAATCATGTGAACTTTAAAAATTAAATATAATTAATTTAATTTGTTATAATGACAAATTAGTACTGCAATATTACTGACATGGGAGGTAGTCCCACAGCCCCTTCCTGTGACCTTCCTATTTCTCTACTTCCTTCTTTTCTTGTCTACTGGTACAATAAAGGAGGCTGCCATTTCCTCCTCTGATTTTTTTTTTTTTTAAATAAATTCCTGTTTTTCTGGGTTTCTGCTGTTTAAAAACCGTACCTATGTATACATTATTACAAAAATAAATAAATGAAAAAAAATTAGATATTTTGTAGCATATTTTAAAAATTGTTCAACAACCGTTTTTAATATTTTGTAAGGTAGAGTATTGGTATTTAGTTTTCGATATTTAGACTTTAAGCACGCAAATTATGAAATATTGCTTTTTATAATGTTTTTTTAAACACTAACAAAATAGTGTCAGAGTTATTCAAACGGCAATTTTTATATAGTTTTTTTAATATTTTAATTAAGTACAGTAATTTTTATTATTTATATTGTTTAAAATGTTGCATTTATACTGTATTTAGAGTTTAAGGAAATGAATTTCAAAATATTACGTCTCTTAACATTTAATAAAACGTTAATTAAATAATTAACATGTATTAAGACCATTAATTTGCCCGACAGGCTTTGAAACAACTAATTTGACCCAGATACATATTAAATAATATATTTCATGTTATAAAATTTATTTAAAATTCTGAAATTAAGAATTGGAAATCAAACTCATTAGTTAAAAAAATAATAATGGTTAAAGAATCTAGAAGCATGCATGTTTTAATTTATTTCCCACCTGCACATTAGTTAATACAAAAGTCGAAAAAAAAACACAAAAGCCATCATTCCACTGTGAAAGCTTTTTTGATTTTTCACTTTGAAAAAGAGAGAGAGAGAAGAAATGCAATTCACGTTGTCGAGAGTCCAACACATTGCATCAGAAAAGAATCTTTATAACCTAATTAAGCATTTGTACCTATGTATACATTATTACAAAAATAAATAAATGAAAAAAATTTTAGATATTTTGTAGCATATTTTAAAAATTGTTCAACAACAGTTTTTCATATTTTGTAAGGTAGTATTTATATTAGTATTTAGTTTTTATTATTTAGAGTTTAAGAAAGCAAATTATGGAATAGTGACAGAGTTCAATTTTTATATAGTTTTTAATATTTTAATTAAATATAGTAATTTTTATTATTTATTTGTGTTTAGTATATTGCATTTATACTGTGTTTAGAGTTTGAGGAAATGAATTTTGAAATGTTACCTCATTTAACATTTAATGAAACGCTAATTAAACAACTAACATGTATTAAGATAATTAATTTACCCGACAGGCTTTGAAACAACTAATTTGATAGTCTTAATACATATTAAATAATATATTTCACGTTATAAAATTTATTTAAAATTCTGAAATTAAGAATTGGAAATCAAACTCATTAGTTAAAAAAAATTAATGGTTAAAGAATCTAGAAGCATGCATATTTTTAATTTATTTCCCACTTGCAAATTTTTTTTTTCGAAAGAGAAAAAAAAATCATATATTATTTCAAGGAAAAATAATCCATTAAACAGTCAGGTATTGAATTCCAAACATAAACACAATTAAAATGATAGGACGCTCTAACTAGACATAAACACCTATATTATCGTGTTTTCTAATTCAACGAACTTCGACTCACACATGCACATTAGTTAATACAAAAGTCGAAAAAAAACGCAAAAGCATTCATTCTACTGCGAAAGCTTTTTTGATTTTTCACTTAAAAAAAAAAAAAAAGAGAGAGAGAGAATGAATGCTTTTCACGTTGTTGAGTGTCCAACACATTGCATCAGAATGATTGCATGCAAAATGACTCTACTTTATGACCTATAAAGTTATCCGCTCAAAGAATCTTTCTAACCTAACCAAGCATTTGTATATTGCTGGACTCATCAATTTTGAGCCGAAAGAAACTTTTTATACTTTTGGGGATAAAAATATAATTTTTTTATATTTCAAGGGAATAACTGTAATTTTCTATCCTTTTCTTTAGTTTTGGGAGGCAGTTGCCCCAAGCTTCGGCCCAGCCCATGTAAATAGCTCAATGTATTTATTCATACACGACTCAATCAAATGCAAAAAAATTAACCAAGAAGCCACATGTAGAAGGTAGACCAAAGGGTAAGAGCAAATGCAGCCACAACATAAGTCCACAGCATTATCACTGAACATTCACTCTCTCCGGCCTCGAACAGTTGCGCGATAATGCCTGCCAATTCTTGAAACATTAAGTATAACTTTCTTTGAGATTGATTTGGATTTCCATACCAAATGAACTTCTAGTTAAACTTACCTACAGTCATTGCGGGCGGAAGTGCATATTGAAGAAGAAGAACAAACTGATATAAAGAATCTGATCCGACCATACCAAAATGGTGTGCTAATTTAACAACACCGATACCCGACAGAGGCATCAAAATATACCTGACTGCTATAATTCCAATAATCACCCCTACACTAACTCCTGATCTTCTTAAACCTACATGCAATGCAATACCCAAATCTAATTATATCAACTAATTATTATCATGAAACTCCATTAACCATTTCGAGGTAATTACCTTTAAGAAGGTTTGCTCCTACTATCAATGTCATTGCTGGAATTAATGCTTCCCTGTCAATTATCACCGATTATCACTATGTGTAGAGAAAAGTATAATTACATAGAATACATTATTAGTTGATGACCCAAATGTGTAATCTATGATCAAGAAATAAGAATCTTACCCCAGCAAAGATGCAGAACTATCAATCACTCGAAGAGGAGCATCACTCCCAATCATCAACTTTCGGATTGGCGAGACTATCCCAATAGTAAACCCGACAATCTAAAGGAAGAAAACATACAGAGAGTTATTGAAATTAATTTGTCAAGCTCGGGTTTGTGCTTTTTCTTGTTTTCCAGTTGGGTAATAAGCATGGAAAAACATGTATATACAAAAGTCTTGCAAAAATATGTAGCATACCGCTCCTATTGTAGACGGTGCAAAAACCATTTTCAAGTTGTTCTTTCCTGCAAAATCCTTAATTTGCTGAAATGCTCTCTCCATAAATGATATCTGCAACTCTCTTAATTAGCAGGGTTAATTAATTATCTCATTAATTACATGCATAAGCATTAATATTAATTTGCAGTATTACTAGCTAGTAGCATGACCAGGGTTCTAGAACGTCAAAACCATTGGTTCCAGTTACAAAAAATGTGAAACCAAAATGGAATCACGGTTTCTACGATAGTTTTGGAACCGCCGGGTTTCGTCTTTTTTTCGAGTTTTCTAAATAAAAAAATGAACAACCGGAACTAAATATTAAGGTTTCGATTACGGGATGTAAGTAATAACCGTTGATCACGGTTTAGTGCGGTTTTGAACAGTTCGGTTTCGGTTTGAAACTGAACCGTGATCATGCCTATACTAGCTGGGAAAACCTCACTTTTCCTGCAGATGTAGTTATTGGAACTTCATCTTCATCTGAATGGTCCTTAGAATGAAGCAGTGATTCTGTGCAACTCTCAGGAAATGTTTGTGCTTCAGTTTCATCATTTGTCTCTGTATTCTTTTCAGCATATATTCGCATAATAAAATACACATAGGTCCATATGTATACAGCTCCCACCTGAGTGCAAAACATTATGAATGCCCATTAAATTGAACCCCAAAAACATATAAAAAAAAGTGCTAGAAAATCAGAATAGTAAACTTATACAGCAAAATCGCACCGCCATAGAAAGGGAAGCATAAGCTTTTCCATAAGTAGAACAGACAGATGAATCTCCAAATGGACTATTTGACTCTTCACAGACTGCTGGAACAATAATTAGAAGTAAGTTTCCCAAGTTTCCGGCAGAGCAACAACCGATTACAAGGCCTTGAAGGTGTGGCGGAGTTCGAGTGATCTTAATAAGAATCCAAGCAAGCAAAGATCCAATAACAAATGTGAGCAGAATATTGACCGGCATAAACCACCTAGTACAAATAGTTCCAACCCACTAATTAGATGTGCAAGAAATATAAGATCGAAACTTTTGACAATCGAGAAAGTAAAATAATTATAAAATCACTCACAAGGAAGCTAAACTTGATAAAGTAACAGTTTCACCAAGTTGACTAATCACCAGCGCAGGACTGAACACATAGAATACAAGCTGCAGTGAACGTAATCACATGACATAAGTAAAACAACAAAAAAAGAAAGATTTTTTTTTTTTTTTTTTTTTTTTGATAATAAACACTGTTCACAATTGACTAATTCACCAGCGCAGGACTGAACACATGAATACAAGCTGCAGTGAACGTAATCTACATGACATAAGTAAAAACAAACAAAAAAAGAAATTTTTTGTTTTTTTTTTTTTTGAAAATTTTTTTTTTTTTTTTTTTTTTTTTTGAAATTTTAGAATAAAACCCAAGTTGAAAGAAAAAACAAACAAAGAAAGAAAAAGAACAAGTCAACAACATTAATTAATTATGTACATACATTATTCAAACTATGTCTTGAGTTGGAACCAAGGAGATTTACACGGTCCATTGCAAGCAATAATCCAATTCCAGTAATCACTAGAACTTCTAGAACTGGGACTAACGCCACTACCAAAAGTTGCAGAAATCCCATATTGCAGTTTCAGTTGCAATTATGTATATATGTGTAATTCTCTTCTCAAATTCCCAAACAACTGCAAAATAAAACATAGCTAGACACAACTACTTGTATAATTTCAAGAAAATAACTATAAAGAAATGTAAAGCAATATATTTATATATATATATATAGGTAGGGAGAGAGAGAGAAAGAGAGAGAGTACAAAGAAAATGAAATGCCAACTAAAGCTTCCAGCAGATTGAAATGTCCATAATAGCAAGCCAACGGAGATGAGTACAGTAGTCATGAACCATACTTAAAAGTTTTTAAAAGAGGGTTTGCTTAAAGAGTACTATGCTAGGTGATGGAGACTTGCAAGTAAGATCATCAGCTAGAAATTAAAAATAGAATATGAACCACACATTTGTAAAATAAAAGAAAGAATAAAATGAAATGAGCAAAATCATTTCTGTGTTTTTCTTCCCATCTGCCGTTCTTTCTCCAACTACACTCGGTATCTGTCTTAATGCCAATAATTTTTTTTTTTTTTCAATTTATGACCGACTGTGATAAGTATCTAACTAGTCATTCCCTCGCTCTCGGGGATAAAGGAGCCGGCTCAGGTAGAGTTTGCATTGCAAAGAAAACCAGTTCAAGAAGAGTTTGCATTATAGAAGATTAAATACATAACTTAAATCATAGCAATCAATTTTGCAAGTGCTTTTTACTACTGAACTTTCCTCGTTCGTGTAATATATATATATATATATATTAATTGACAAAAATTATAACAAATGATCGACAAAAAATTCAAGTTCTTCCTCAATAAATAAACATAGTTTTCAAGTGATAGACACACTCAGTAAATACTCACATTTTAATATACGCTGAAAATGGTTAAATTTAGTAAATATTTACATTTTAATTTTCAAAATGATTGTCAATAAATAATGGCATTGAAAAATGGAGAGCAATTGATACAAACGAAAATATTATTTTTAACAATTAAAATTAAATATAAATATAATAGAGTAATTTAGTAAAATATTACATTTAATTTAACAAATGAATTGTACAATAACATCAATGGCACTTGAGTAACAATGGAGGCAACTGATCCACAAACGACCAAATATATATTTAATTTAAACAGATCTAAAATTAAAAATATAACATAGATTAGAGTTTTTTTTTTTTTTTTTTTTTTTGTTTTAGAGAAGGAATATAATAGATTAACATATATAATTTAAGTATTTTATGTAAAATGATGATAATAGAGCTATGAAATTGATGATAAATAATTATATATATATTATATATATATAATATTTATATCTGGATATGAGGAGAAAAGGGAGTAAAAAACAAAAAAAAAAATCCTGGGCTGCTCCCATTATATATCTATGAGGAGAAAAGGGAGTAAAAAACAAAAAAAAAATCTGTGCCTCCCATGTGATGGCAGGTAGGGATTAGACAGCTTTGACCTACCGGTGCAATTATTTTTGCTATATCAGCGGAACTATCACATATGCATAGTTAAAGGCTCAACAATGTTGTTTATCCAATAAACATATATTAACAAAATACGAGATTAACATGTCAAAAGCTTTCCCTTTTTATTTATTTATTGGAACGCCTAATGTACTGTGTAATAGAATAACTCTCTTCTAACTGGTTAAATTGACGAAACTTTCAACTTACTAAAAATAATATTATTACTGATCATCAAATATAATTCAAAAAATATTTCTAAGACACCTTAGGTTGAGGAGCATCAATTATATTTAAAGTCTTTTCGGTCAAATTTATAAATTCACCAATGACACTATCAACTTTTACTTTAATCTATTAAAATCTTTAACTTATAAAGTTATACTTATTAAACACTTCAATTTGTAAAATAATTTTATTGAACACTTAAAATTGTAAAATTAAATCAATTAAACACTCATTAAAAAATTAAAATTTATTAATATTATTATTTCAAAAATTATCCTAATTATATATCAAATCGATATTTTGCAGATAAGAGTTAAAATTCCTAAATATTACTCATTATTATTATTATTATTATTAAAAGGTCTGCAATATTACTAAAATTTTTAAATTTAAATATATGATAGACCATCCACAAAGTTTAAAATACCATAAAATTATAATTGCAAAGTTCAGAGGTGAATTTATATATTCGACTAAGTTATTTTGAGTTGCTAAAAGTTTTTTTTTTTAATTGTATACCTTACTCTTCTCTCTCTCTCTCTCTTTTTTTCCCCCTTTAATCTTACATAATACACTCGCATTGCCATTATTGGTGATGTGATTTGATGAAAACTATCTCATACAAAATTTCGAAAACTTTAATTATTGACCAGCAGCATGGCTGTGCATAATATAAAATTTAGTTAAGAAAAAATTTATAATTTAAATTATTTTTAATTTCATATTTATTAATTTTTGTTGAAAATTATTTAAATTAAAGAACAAAATTTAGTAATAGAAAACACATTTTGAATTCTAATTATTTTTTAGATCTTCCATAGATAATTAATTTTTGTTTGAAACATAACAAGTATTTAAATAAAGAACATCTATGTTCCAAATTTAAAATATTAGACTAATTATTATAAAAATCAAGTTGTGTAAATTATAACAAAAATTGAACAAGAAAACTGAAATACTATATTATAAAACCTCATTTGATTTAAATTTATCTTTCGAAATTAAGTAACATTTATCTGGAATGATAATTAAAAAAATAATTAACAATAAATAAAAAATAGAAATTGCAATTTATAGACGTTGTAGACTATACATATCACAATTTTAACAATAACTTTCAATATAAAACGCTATTTTTTATATGCACTTTATCAATGACTTTCCCTTAATTTGAAAGAGAAATAGAGAAATAGAGCAAAGACGAAAAATACTATATCAGTATGTTGAAAATTGAAATTAACAAAAAAAAAAAAATATTTTTAAATCTATTAATAAATACTGAAAACATTATGGAATATTCGATCGTTAATAAAGCTATTTTATAACATATTATTCACACCGTATAACCATTCATACACTAAATACACTTTTTTTCACATAGTAAAACTATTTTCATTTCATAATAGATAAATGAATAAGTAATGCAGTGAGATGTTATAACTGGAAAACTCAATATCATTTGTTAATAATATTCCAGTTTAAAACATAATTAAATTGATAATCTACAATGGATTAATATAGAATTAATAACATCACAAATTATAAAGATATAATTTTACATTTTAAAAAATAGAGTACTATTAAATAATAAGATCAAATAATTTATTATTTAATTCAAATAATAAATATCAATAAACTTGGAAGGACAATTAAATCATATTATGTAATATCATTAAGTTAGAAACTTATAAAGTGGTACGAATATAATCAAACTACATATAAATCTTATTACTACATATAAGTAATTCATATGATAATTGAGAATTAGCATCATAATTTAATGCTCACAATAATCTTACTATAACAACATAATTCAAATACATTAAATTTCTATGTGCACGTATCAAAATTTAAGAGTCATAATATGTTCATAAATGAATCATATGTGTCACAATATAATCCTATTCGAACGCAGCATCACCAAAAATCTTAACTGTGCGACAACGCAACGTAAGAAAAACACATTCATTAATGAAGTGCCTAGACATGTCAAACTTCTTGAGGGAAAATAACTTGCTTTGATACGTACTTAACTAGCAACTTAATATCCGTATATAGCACGACTTCAAAAAAAGATAAGAAAGTAAAAGATTGAAAACAGACAAGCCATAAAATATATAATAGTTTATCAGATTCCTATAAGCTGATTTTCTTTTGATCAATCGCAATATTTAAAAATATTATTTGACATATACAATCCAATGAAGTAAAAACAAAAAATATAGTCCGTGATTTAATCTATTAGAGTCAAAACAAATTAGTAGATACAACATATGTTACCCAGAGTATTGATTAATTAAAAAAAAAAGAGTAAAATGAAAGATTAGTAAAAAAATCATTAATCAGTAATATACTTTAAGATTGGAATGTAAAAATAATTAAACTCGCCTATAAATCCCGCATGAATAAAATAATATTTATTTTACAAGCTAAACAGTTGTAAAAATCAATCAATTCATTATGTTAACGTATACATTCTCTAAAAACATATAATTAATCAAAATACATAATTTAATATAATAGTTAACATCTAATAACAAATAAGGTTTATTAATATAAACAATTGTCCATATCATTAAAATTCATATGCTATGTCCCATATAAAAATTCATATATAAAATTGTTTACTTAAAATTATAGTTATTAACTTTCCTCTAACGTAAGCATAATATTAATCAATATATTTAAAAAACGGTTAACTATCAATAATAAACAATCCAGTTAAACTTAATTTTTTCAAATAAGGACTATAAAAATAAATAATTAATGTTCTATGTATGTGGCACTATCAAAATTTAAGAGTCATATATGTCATTATAATCATATGTGTCACTATAATCCTATGAGGCATCACCAAAAATCTTATGTGGCAAGAGTAAGAAAAACATTCATTTATGAAATGCCACATGTCAACTTCTTGGGGAAAATACTTGCTTTATACGTATACTAGCAATATATCCGTATTATGCACGATTAAAAAAAAAAGAAAGTAAAAGATTGAAAGAATATATATATAGTTTATAGATTCTTAAGTGAAATTTCTTTTATCATGCTATTAAAAAATATTATTGACATATATCAATAGTAAAAAAAAATATAGCCGTGATTTTTAATTATTAGAGTAAAAATTAGTAGATAAACATATGTTCAGGAGTATTGATTAATAAAAAAAAAAGTAAAATGAAAGATAGTAAAATTCATTAATTTAATATACTTTAGAATTAATGTAAAAAATAATTAACTCGCTATAAAATCCATGAATAAATAATTTATTTTACAGCTAAAAGTTGTATAAATCATCAATTCATTATGTTATTAATTCTCTAAAACTATAATTAATCAATTATATTTAATATAATTTAATTAATAAAAAATAATTTTTAATATAAAACAATTGTCCATATCATTAAATTCATAAATTATGTCATTAAAATTTATATAAATTGTTACTTAATATGTTATTAATTTTCTAACGTTATATTAATTAAATATATTTAAAACGGTTTAATTCAATCAATAAATAATCATAAATTAATTTATTTTCAAATAAATATAAAAATAAATAATTAAGGCATTACACATGTCATTAAATTGAAATCTTACCTGCCTACTACTTGATATATATATATATTAGGAAAGCATCTAAAAAGTAATAAGTGAAAAACAATGTAAAAGGCATATTTTCTCTCTTTTCATAATAAAAATAGAGCATAGCTAATGTTCCTTTTCTTACATTACATTAACGATGAGGCAAAATGTCAAATTCTTAAATAGAAAATTTTCTTGTTTAAAAGAAAACGTGTTTTAAGTGTTTTTGAAAGCAATAAAGCTTTCTCAATAATGGAGGAAGAAAATTCAAAAGTGGGTAAAACAAGAGGACCATTTGATGATAATATACGACAACTGACCTTTAATGCTCTGTTGACAATTAATATAAAGGACCACCAGTAAAATTTATGTCTAGCTTTTATTTTTTTATTTATTTATTTTGTCTAAAATCACAGGTCTCCAGTTTTAATTATCAAAAACCACCTGATCTGACTCGAAACTTATATGTTTAGCCTTATTTTATACAACATAATAAATTAATTTTATTCTTTAAGTATTTAGAAGGTCAAATATGTAAAGTGTACTTATTCAGGTATATAATTCAGATATCTAATTTACCAAACAATATAAATTGTTCAGCGGTAAGCTATTAATACTACTACTTAATCATTCAACTGTGATTCGAAATTCAGACTAAACGAAGGACCTTTGAGAGACCATTCCGCTGCAAAACTATTACTAATGTAAAATCAATTAAAAATTTGTTGACGGACACTCATGTAGGAAATATTCATAATCTGTTTTTTTCAGGAGAAAGAATTTTTTTTTTCTTCATTTTTTGCAATATATAATTAACTCGCTATAAAATCCATGAATAAATAATTTATTTTACAGCTAAAAGTTGTATAAATCATCAATTCATTATGTTATTAATTCTCTAAAACTATAATTAATCAATTATATTTAATATAATTTAATTAATAAAAAATAATTTTTAATATAAAACAATTGTCCATATCATTAAATTCATAAATTATGTCATTAAAATTTATATAAATTGTTACTTAATATGTTATTAATTTTCTAACGTTATATTAATTAAATATATTTAAAACGGTTTAATTCAATCAATAAATAATCATAAATTAATTTATTTTCAAATAAATATAAAAATAAATAATTAAGGCATTACACATGTCATTAAATTGAAATCTTACCTGCCTACTACTTGATATATATATATATTAGGAAAGCATCTAAAAAGTAATAAGTGAAAAACAATGTAAAAGGCATATTTTCTCTCTTTTCATAATAAAAATAGAGCATAGCTAATGTTCCTTTTCTTACATTACATTAACGATGAGGCAAAATGTCAAATTCTTAAATAGAAAATTTTCTTGTTTAAAAGAAAACGTGTTTTAAGTGTTTTTGAAAGCAATAAAGCTTTCTCAATAATGGAGGAAGAAAATTCAAAAGTGGGTAAAACAAGAGGACCATTTGATGATAATATACGACAACTGACCTTTAATGCTCTGTTGACAATTAATATAAAGGACCACCAGTAAAATTTATGTCTAGCTTTTATTTTTTTATTTATTTATTTTGTCTAAAATCACAGGTCTCCAGTTTTAATTATCAAAAACCACCTGATCTGACTCGAAACTTATATGTTTAGCCTTATTTTATACAACATAATAAATTAATTTTATTCTTTAAGTATTTAGAAGGTCAAATATGTAAAGTGTACTTATTCAGGTATATAATTCAGATATCTAATTTACCAAACAATATAAATTGTTCAGCGGTAAGCTATTAATACTACTACTTAATCATTCAACTGTGATTCGAAATTCAGACTAAACGAAGGACCTTTGAGAGACCATTCCGCTGCAAAACTATTACTAATGTAAAATCAATTAAAAATTTGTTGACGGACACTCATGTAGGAAATATTCATAATCTGTTTTTTTCAGGAGAAAGAATTTTTTTTTTCTTCATTTTTTGCAATATAATTCATAATCTGTTTTTTTCAGGAGAAAGAATTTTTTTTTTCTCATTTTTTTTCAATATATATAAATATAACATATAATACTATACATATATATATTATAAATTAGAGTGTTTTACAATTGGTGGTATTCTATGTAAGAAATATTGAATAATTATTTATGATTATTTAAGAATTAAATTTTAAGTGATTATTATTATGAATTTCTTTATTTTGAATGAACAAGATATATATATATAATTTAGAGTCGTTTTACAATTGGTGGTATCTATTAGAAAATTGAATATTATTTATGATTATTTAAGAATAAATTTTAAGTGATATATTATTAATTTCTTTATTTGAATTGAACAAGGACACACAAGATGTTTAAGAATTCTAAATGAGACTTTAAAAAGATGAGATACGACATGTCGTGTAGACCAAGATGGACGTTTTTAGTGTGTAGAAATAGCCACTCATCTTACATTAAGAAGAAATTGACACAAAAACATGTGTTATTACAAATTTGTTTATGCCAAAGGGCATTCCTCTAGGATTTTGTGCTCATAAGCATTGAAATAAAATGATGTGATCTCAATGTTATTACATTTTAAGGTCAGTTGATTCATTTATTGGCAATGTTTTTAAAAAACTGAATTGAATATCAAATCGGGTTCATTACTAGGTCGTGGTTGAATTGGATTGACTCGATTCAATCGGATTTTTGACTTTTGAACATGATTTGTGACTTTTAATTTGTAATTATTTATAAAAAAATTAAATAGAATTCTTCAAATATCAAAATACTATATTGACTCTTTATACCACATTTCATGCCACTTTAGAATATTATTATAATAATAAAAAATTTTAATTTAATTTAATTTAATCTCAAATTCAGATTTAATTTAATTCGATCCCCACAAATTTAAGGGACGAAATTATATAGCATATATAATTCTAAATGACACTTCAAAAAGGTCAAAAAAGCATGTCATGTTGCAAAGACGTCCAAGATTTGCATGCAATAGTCACTATCCAAGCTGCCCAAAGGATTATCCCTTGGGAAGTTTGCGCCCGCAAGCTCCAACATGGAACCTCATGAACTCGAAAACATTGCAGTTTAAAGGTTAATCGATCACATGTTAGAGTACCAATCAGGAAAAGATATCGAGTCGAAAGCTTCTGAATTATTCTGTATTGGCACAAATTTTGGATAAAATTTTGTAGCGTTTGCGTATGATAGATATTGACTCAGAAATCCTCGAGGAAAAAGAATACAAAAACGGAAGATTTGACCCTCCATCACATTAGAGGAATGATTCTGTCTGTCAGAAGAAAGGATAGGAAATTGCAATAATAATGTTTAAAATGCTAAAAAGTGAAAAATGTGAACCTGTAATGCCAATTTGAGGGTTTCAATTATTACTTCGAGTCTAGCTAAAAAATTTTAAACTACAACAGTCTATTACAAGTCACATGCATCAGAGTTCAAAACTGAAAATGCCGCATACCAGCTCAGCAGACTAGTTCTGCCAGCTTTATGCCCAAACCTCCCAATCACTTGTACAATATCAAGGGGATAGACAAAGATGAGACATTTGTGAAACTCCCTAGTCCGGCTGTTCAAATGGGACTCGAACAAACAGTTGTCCATGAAGGGTGACTACAGCTGAAGTCTGATGCGGGTCGATCCTTGAGGGTAAGCTCACAACCTGTCAAAAAGAAAGACACGACTAAGGAACTGACATAAGTTGGTCGTGTTAGACTTGTTCCATTCTTATATTAAAGGTGCATACCTTTCTGAAGGGTGTGACACCCCAAGGATTATCGGGATACTCAGGTTCACCACTAATAACTAATCGTCCTGCTGGATCTGATTGAACACGTACCTGAGTTCGAAAATTCATTTCCATATTAATCTTTAGCTGAAACACACATGCAAGCTTTGCTAGGCAGCAAAAAAATCTAGGTCAGCTACCCCAAATAAACAGGTTAGGGTTCAAGTTAAACGGGTTCGTGTCATAAACAAGCCAACACGAACATAAATGTGTCGTGTCGCAGATTGACACGCGGATTAAGTAAGTAACCCGTTTATTTAAGGGTAAATAGATAATTTTAGCATGAGATATAAATACTCTAACTAAAATCCTATTTGAACTTTATTGTTGTATTAATTTTCTTTTATTTTAGTTATGAATCTTAAAGAATCTATGTAAAGTCAATCATATACAGATCAACACAACCTACTTAACTTATTTATTATATTAAGCAGATTCCACAAACCGTATATGGTTTAATATGACCCACTTAATCCGCTTAAGATATTACGCGGATTACACGTGCCGTGTTTGTATCACCTGTCTAATTTTCGTGTTGACAAATTTGATACAATTATTAAATAGATCGTATTCGTGTTGATTCAAATCGTATCGCATGTTAGGCGAATCCCTTGTCAAACCCGACACACCAACCCGTTTTGACACCCACTAGAAACAACAAGGCAAACACAACCTTTGCTCATGCCCAAACACTCATGAAATATAATAATAAGATACTATACTTGAAAAAGAATGGAAGTACTTTTTTATTTGCAATTACATCATTGATCGCATTTGAGGGTATTATTGTTACAAAAGATCAAAATTATGGTAAAATTGATAGAAATGTTAAAATAGCGTAAAATTGCAAAAGTTTACAAAGTTTGGTGTATTCTAATATATTAGGCCTCTTGTAAAATCACCTACGGAGAATTGAAATGGTGGCACAAAATATAGCATTAAATAGTTGACTTAGCACCTAGAAATGCCCTATGTAAGCCACATAATAATAAGCAACTCTAATCAGGTCAACCAAAATACCTCCAAAAGAAATAATTGAATTAATACCAGTAAATTAGAAAAACTAAAGAAAGAAGATTTGAGGTACTTACCTCCTCGCGAAGAAGTCCCGGTACTAGAGCATATACCTCAAAGCAATCTTTCTGTAAACATAATTTTTAAATTCAGGTTAGAAATCATAGATATTTTCCTATTCCTTCCATTCAAACAGTGATGCAGGGCACTTACTGTTTTCTGTACATTGATCTTTACCCACTCAGCTGGAGGTCCAAGGTCAACCACCTCTACATCCAATCTAGTAAAAGCATCAATTTAAGACATTGAATCAACACAACTTTGCATAATAAAAATCAAGGAAGCATTTTCGGCTTAAATAAATATTTAATACCAGACCAACAAACTAGGCAAAAGGAAAAAAAAAAATCTTAACTGTGGTTTGGATGTTTTGGTGCGTGCAACTTTTACAGCATGTTCCATGAAGGATGGTTTCTTACGTTTAAGCAAACCTGAGTTATCACAAAAACTGGTGAAGCTGTTGCGCACAAAAATGATAATCAATCATCAATTAGAAAGTAATAGCCCCATTACTTACCAAGGCTTTTAAGCTGTTTTTCACGCTTTTGCAAAGATATAGAATTCTTATCCTACAAATACAAAAAATATGATTATGTAAACAAATATGTCATAGTTACAAGAACATGCATGAGAAAACAAATTAGAGAACAGCGCAAAACAGTAATTTCATCAGACCTTAATGATAGGGTCACTAACTTCTCCATTACCAAGAAGACGCTGCGAGTGCCAACCCTGCATAGCACGTGCTGCAGCATCTCTCCTTGCTCTACCCGATCCCGGTGTCTAATTATTTCCACAAACATATAGAACATTAGCAAAGGCAAGGATTAAGGGAAGGGATGAAGGTGGCAAAATCTATTGTTGAGAGATGTAAAGGAATCAACTTGTTAAAGTTAATAAATTTAAAACATCAAGGGAGCTACTTATGTATCTAAAATAGAAATCAAGGGAGAACCCACGACATTGTCATGTAACAAATCTAATTATTTCATCAAGATTTGGACAATGATCTAATTGTGCATCTAAAAAGATTCTAGAAACCATCAAGCTTTTGACATGTTTAGTTTCCATAACATTTCTTCAATACTATTTCAGTTTTCAACACAAATCAAATTGGAAGATTGGCTGCCAATTAAATGGAACCAAACAAGGATACACTGCCAAGAGAACTTTACAACATATGTCCATGAGCCTGTACAATTATGACTTCCTCTCTCCTGATAAAGTTATTACCAGTCTAACTCGGTTACTCAGTAAAGTAAAACATGTTGCCTGATAGCAAAGGCAGGAACGACAAAAGGTTCTGATCATAACATCTAGTCAAATATGTTAAGTTAGAAATTGACCTGATTCTCGACATTCATAGGCTCTGAGTTGGAAGCAAGGGGTACATTAAGCTCACCGCCACATGTTTTATGTCTTTCATAATCAAGAAGCGCCTGACAAATACAAATATAGTACATTTAATTTGTCAGACCCAATTTTAAGGCATGTTAGAAAAGGAAGCTAGCATGCATAAAATATTTGCAGAGCGTTGCAGCTAAAAGAGAATATCCAAAGGATAAATTTTCATGCTTTCGGGAAGAGTACTCAGAGTACAGGAAAGAAATAGGAAAGCAATCCAGTCTTGAACTTACAAATCTTATTTCTGATAATTCCAATCAACAAAACTATATCTTCTGCAGTTAGAAAGCAAAATAAAATTGACTTCCCCACTGCATCTGCATGGTCAACATGCAATCATGATGTCCATATAGAGAATTATAACTGATGGCAGATTTACCATGGTGGCAATGGGCGCAGCGGCCTGCAATGCCCCAAGGAAATCCTTGGGTATATTGACAAGGATCATAATATTACCCCCACTAAATTATCAATTTTGCTCCATTAAATAGTGTTAGTTGTCCCTTACACATTTAATTTTTAAATTATTTATTTTTTTATATTCAATTTGAAAATTAATATAAATTTATTTTTTAACTTCTACAGAATATTAGTGAAAAGTCAGAAAAAAAGATATAATTAACCACTAAATCTAGCCCATTTATTTATTTTAAATATAACTTTTTAAGCATACTATATAATTTTGTCAAAGTTATAAATATTCTTAATGTTTTAATATCATGTTTATATATATACACACATGTCCAGTGTGCCTTTATTTAGTTACGTGTGTGTATAAATGTATATCTATAGATTAATCGTACTGACCACATTTTCTGGATCTACCATGAACTCAAGCCCATAAACATGCACCCATACACAGTGACTCTTCTTCTTTCTTCACTTTTCCAGTTCTCTAAAATTATTTTCTCCCATTTTTCTAATGTGCTAAACACTTTACAATTACCTATTTTTCCTGCCTCTACTCAATTTTTTGTTTTGCCATTTTTCCACTTTTAATGGAGACCTCTTCAAGTGCCCCCATCTCTTTTGCCAAAGATTAAATTTCTAACTATCTTTACTCATTTTCTGCATAAGAAATTCCAAACAAATTATTTTCTAGCAACTCTTTTGTTTGATTCTTCAACTTAAATCTTTCTTTACTCACCTTACATTCTTATAAGAAATATGACTACAAATTTACAACTTAGTCTGAAGACAAGACACTGACCCAGTGTTTGAATCTAATATTAACATATATGTTGCATGTATGTACTTATGGCAAGTTCAAACTTACACAAAATGCAACATACATAAAGTGATAAACTGTGCAGGAACAACAAATAAAAAGCAAAACGATATGCAATTTGTTCACCCAGAATCACCTTCTCATAAAACCCTCGAAACGTCCATGAAACAGTAGTGCATGTTCTGCAGGGGTAAAAAAAAGATGGGCAAAAAAATGTCAAAAACATAGGCCAAAATTGTCAAAGCATCTAATATGTTAAACATGTAAAATTAATAGCTCCATTTTATTAGCAGTTACAACATGTCTCAAAGAATAACAATAATCACATAATGCAATTCTATGGAAACGAAGCTCAGTTGCTCCATTGTCTAAGTTTCCACAGCATATCTATAACTAATACTTCTTTGTTTTAAGCCTTTTAGGACAAAAAGATATCTGAATCTGTATAAATATAAACATATGAGTGTGCAGATATTGGGGAAGGGGATTGGTCATGGACTTATGAATTAATTAGAAAAAGATAAAATAAGCAATCGCTATAGTTGCCTTAAACTTTTGAGGATGTAGCATGCATCTTTATAACACATGTATATAAGCATATTATCGCCTTGTCCTAACTACTCTTTCGTTTTAGTCTCAGGGAACTACTACTACTTTGGTACTTCCAATGATTTCCTTTTTGTACATGTGTATGTGTGAATTGAATATAACAGCAAGTATATCAATAATATGACAACATTTATGGGTTTAACAGATTTTAAAGTAACCAGAACACATACTGTGCCTTACTTTGGAGGTTTGAAGGATTCTCCCACTTGCCGCCAAAGTTTGCATGAAGTCACCTAAACATCAACAGGGACCAGTTGTGAGAACATTATTGATTATACAAAGTCCAAATAAAGTAAAAGATTTCACATCACAAAAAAATTTCAAATATTTTTTAAGCAAACAATGCCAACTCGTTTTAACCTTTTCTTATATACCGAATTAGGAAATAGAAGTTAATCATTGTATTCCAAGTACTATGTGATATTTGAAGAAGTAAAAGAATTTCCAATTATAAATTTACATTTCAATTTTGATGAATATTTCTAACTTGCAAAGGCTGAAAATTGCTCTACTTGGTTCCTCTTAAGTGAGTATGGTCCACCCAATGCTTAGATGTCTTTAGAAAGTATTACTAAAATCTTCTAACCTATATGATTATAAAGAATGCCTAGCTTCCATGAAACTCGTATTCAGCCTCTGTGCATGTGTCTTTGCTGCCTAGATAATCATTAGAAAAGGTTTAACTTCTTCAACCTTTTACACATGATCGATGTGCACATGCGCACACATTTATATATGCATGCGTGTATTTGTTGTTCATTAAACACTTGGGATCAGCAAAATGCTCTGCTCTGGCTCCAACATAATCAAACTTGAAAAACCAAAACCAAGCACAAATAACAGCCTGGAAATTAATTAGATATGTGGGTGACATGGAAATATCAATTTGTGTCAGGGACAAGCAATGCATACCTTATCGTAGCCACCCAATCTCATAACAGCTCGCCACAACCTCATAACCAAAGCACGTATTATTAGTCCAAACTAGATTCAAATAAGATAACATTCAGAAGAAATAAACAAGTTCAAAAATGGTTAGGAACTTACTTCAGGCAATTTAATCCCTCTCCATAGAACTTAGGAGGCTTGAACTCCATGCTCCTCTCCCTAAAGAAATTTTCAAGCTCCATCATAAATGCACATTGCTCCTCCTCAGTTCCAGTCTCATCACCATCATGATCATCATCCAAAAGAAATGTGTTCTTTGAGCTTGAGGTGCCATTACTTTTGAGCGTAGCCTCCTCTGCTTTATTCTTTGCATTCTTCAATTCTCTCTTATTCTCAAGTTCAGTTTTGATAATTGAAGATACTGCATGAGGTGTAGTAGGTTCATCCTCTTTAGGATGGGTGCCATCATGATGGCCAGATTTATTTTCTGGTACTTCAGAAGGTTCAGTTTTGGCATCTGCAGCAGGTTTAGCAGTTTCAAGATGACAGATTGAATTGGCAGTGCCATCAATACCGCATGTTTTAGATTTACAATCAGAAAATTCATTGGCTGTAGTTCTTTTCTCTATAGTAGGTTCAGTTTCAGGCTTGAGTAAACTTTTTTTGTCATCTACAGGAGCTGGGGAAGAAGAACCTTGTGGGGATTCATGCAGACTTGATTCCAACTCTACACTCACATCATTGGTCGATGCTTCAGTCCCCTGTTGTTTTGGAATGGACTTCAAGTTCACATCTTGACTGTTAGGGGCCGCCAATGGTTTTTCAGAAATGGTCTTCAACCCCATATCGTCTTCATTGGGGACTGCTTCAGTCTGAGGTTTTTGAGTATGGTTCCTCAACTCTCCCATGCCATCATTTGCCATTGCCTCAGTTTGGGCAACATTGTTATCACTTGTAACTAACTCAGTCTGAGGTTGCTGAGGATTAGTCTCAAAGTTATTAGTGGGGACAACCGCAGTCTGAGATTTTTGTTGCGGACTAGACTGCAACTCTGAGCGGTTATCAATGGAGGGGGTCTCACGGTGAGATTTTTGGAGGCTGGACTTCAACTCCACATCATCAACATGGGCAGCTGCAGATGGAAGAGTAACATTTTCAGAGGGTTTTTTTTCATCCTGGTCCATGGGGACAAGGTGGGGTGGAGACCCTTCGTCAAGATGTTCAATAGCTGGGACTAACTGTGCTTCAATTGGCATGTCAGGGCCTGGAGGATGGGGCAGTGATAGTTCTGATTCATCCTCATTTTCTTTGGCATTGTCCATCTCTAACTATAACAAACAGCAATAAAATGGATTGGAAAAAAACAGTAAAATTGCAGACTTAAAAGATGGATAAATAATGGAGCTAAAAGAGCACAATTTCTTATAAGGTTTAGGATTGTTCAATCAAACAACACATTACCCCGGGATCATGCTGTGTGGTTTTTATTGCTTCAGTCAAAAACCCTAAAAATGTTCTGTATTTTTGAATAACAAAGAGCTAAAAAAATAAAATGCAGAAATGTTGCAATGGTGGGAATTGCGAATTTATATCAGATAGCTTTAATTGGGAAAGAAACGTATCTTAAACAAAATTGAAAAGAAAGGAAAGAGAAAGAGAAACCTTACCTGCAACAAAAAGGAAAGAGACGCAAGCGAGAGAGAAAGTTGCCTTGAATGAATATATTATGAAAATTTTAATATGAACCCTAATAACATAACATAAGGCACCTCCTCCTCTCTGATTCTCCCTCCCAATCCCAAATTATCTGCTGCTCTTCCCCTGCTCTGTTCAATCGCTGATTTCCTTTTCTTTTTTTGTACATAAACGATATTATAAATTAATAATCGCTGATTTCCTCTGCTCTGAAACGGAGCACCGTTGTTGTCTGCCGAATTGCCATTTGCCTTCATAAGAGAAAAACGACGACACACGTTAATTTCTCATGGACTCACTAAAACGACGTCGGAAGAATCCCCGGTAATGGAATTTGCAAGGCCCGGCCTCATCCTTTGAGTAATATCCCAGCCAGCGGGCTTATGTTTCGGCATTTCATTTTATCTTCATTCTTTGTAAGATACAACTAAGTGGAATTTGAAAAAGCCCAGTGCTTTATGGGTGGCTACTTTTTTTTAACTTATAAATCAATCTAAAAATAAATAGTTAAATATTTAGCAAAACAACTTAAAAAATATATTTAAATGGTTTAAGGCTATGTTCGATAACAGCTGTTTAAGTAATTTTTATAATATTTTTTATAGTGTTCGATAATATAGCGAGATTAGCAAATATAACATTTAACCCTTAGCGTTTTATCTAATAAAAAAGCTACACACTAAATAGTTACATGCTACTAAAATAACTAATTTTGATACGATAGAAACTTTTGGTTAAATTAAATCAAATGAGTGGATACCAACTTCATCTGATACTTCCCTAGACCCATGCTTAATTTGCACACCCAGTTTCTGAATATAGAAAGAAGTTGGATTGCCTGTGCACAGCAATCCAGTCTTTATGTGATTTTTGTAAGATTTCAACCGAGTAGCAACTCTTTCTCTAAGTGGTGTGGCCTTTTAAGTCCACTTCGTCTTCTCTCGAGGCTTGTTGGCTTTAAAACAGTGTATGATCATTTTCCTAAATCAGAAGTCCACACACATGCTAGCCAGTATAAGATGCTGGAAATATTAACCTCCCTCACCTCACCTATTGGAGCTTCATTCCCTAGCTCGTTCAGGCAACTCAAGTCAAAACCCATCAGTCTTAAACTCTTCAACCTGAGTTTAGGATGCAGTAAAATCTTAGTTTCTGCATCTCGCATACAGTGCCTTAGCCATCTTTTATGCTAACATCTTCAATGGGATTAAGATCGGTAGCCTGCGTTGCGGCTTCCATTTGTTAACCTGGAACATTAGTCTCCCTCTTTTCAAGGTATTACAAAATTCATGAATCATTATCTTTACACTGTTAAAATGCAATAAACATCTGAACTCTTCCTGTGCATGTCCAAGTCCAACAGAACAAAAAGATATTGCCCATAACTACCTTGTAAAATGTAATAATGGAAAACCAAAAAAAAAAAGACAGACAACGGGGACTGCAAGGGGAACTGCATCCTAAGAAATATGCCTTCTTTATATCTAATCATAAACTTTGCCAAAGTTGTCTTTCTCCTTGGAAATGCATCCAAGAAAAAACAAACAAGCGACCTTTTGATTTGAAATTGCATATCAAAAGCGAACATTTTATCACAATCGATCTGTATGAGAACAGAGAGAAAATATTTTACATTTACGGCCAGCTAGAAAAGGAATTACTTGAAGCAACAAATAATTAACACACAACAAAATCATAAAGAGAATAATTCTACAACTCAAAGATATGCTGATTTTCCTATATTATAAACAGCTAATGTCCTTATGTTGCAGCTACCATCGATGCCAGGTCCAACTCTTCATCAGAATCGATCACGTCTTCATAGTCATAATAAGCATTCACCTGTAACGATTAAAAGAAAGAAAGCATGCTTAAGCGGAAATTTAAAAGTAAAAAATAAAAAGCCTCTAGTACCATGGTAATCAAAGGAAGTGTCATGGAAATTACTAAAATACAAATTCATTGCTTATTTTTGTTAGTTGAAAATAAAGTCCATACCTCTGGTCTAGGAGTAATTGCTTCAAAACTATGGAACTGTGGATCGTCAAAACCAGGGGGTTTTAAAACTATGTAAGCCCCCTTATTTTTGTATCTCTCCTCTGTTGCCTGTGTATCAAACAAAATAATTTGTTGGAACAATTAATTAAGTCATCAAAGTGGAAAATAAAGTAATGCATACAATTTTACGAATCAATTAGTTTCATTTGTCAACACCTTTCTTGTTACTCAACCGACCAATGTAGATACACTAGGAACTTATTTCATGTTTGTCATTACTTAAATCTCAGAAAATAAAAAATACATGTAGCTTATTCTTAAGAAAAAAAAACAAATTATAGTGATAAGCTAACAGTTAGACTTGAGTTAAAAACATTTCAATAGCAACTATCACTCAAGGAAGAAGTATCACATGTCCAACCAAAACCAATATTCTACATCACAAAGTATCCTCGTGTTTCTATCATCAACACTTCAGAAAAATATTTAAAAAGATGGCTCTTGTAGAGCTTGAACAAATGGCTGCCATCTCGAATAATGGCTTTAGCCTAACCATTTGCCTACAATCTCATCCATGCTGAGCCAAATTGAGCATATCCTTTCTGAGGAAGTAATAGTTTCTTTCATAAGAGTTATTACCAATAAAACTTAACCAAAGTCCAACCTTTCATGGAACTCCCGATCCCCGTACCACTCATTGTTTTCTCTTGTTTTCTATGCAACCAATATAATAGTTGAAGTATAATGGAATAAGTTGATACAGGACAAATTTGATAAACTTGTCTCTGTGTATGTGTGAAGTAGCCTAGGACTTAACAACGAATAACAGATTTAAAATGCTAATTGTTCAGAAAAAGTTGGTTTTGTGGATTGATTGCGGTCTGGTTTGGTTGACATTTGATGGTCGTTTAGTGGCAAGTAACACATGTAGATTGCTGGTTTTGAATTGAAAATTTTGCATAAAAAACATAGTTCAAGGTTTTAAATTTTTTCTGAAAGCTAGTCAATGGGAAAACTTCAGGATCCAATTCCCAACATGGCATGAAAAGTTATAATGGAGTGTGATTAGATGTCAATAAAGGAAGAATGGGAAGCATGTTTGGGATGCTCTGAACACTCAAGGGAAGAAAAAGGAGGAAGAAGAATAAATAGACAATCAAAAGAAGATGATAGAAGAAGAGAGAAATCTAACTGGCTCACGAGCCCCTTAAACTAGGACTAAATACTCAATATTTCATCAGCAAAGTGTAAAAAATTCTTAGATCATAACAGAAGTAAACCTAAAGCTCTTCAGAACTTGCATGCAATTCCAAGATCAACCTATTAAATGATAAAAGGAACTCGAAATTTCTTTTCCCTTAGCTGCATCATAGATATTAAAGCATCTAAGAAAGGACTTTGCAAAAGAAGGTTAAAGGCTAAAAACGAACTTGCAGGTAATTTTCCTAAGAAAACATAGTAGAGTTCTCCCAATTTAAATCGGGTTTTGTAAGTCATTCCTAAGCCCACCCCAAAACACCCAAGAAATGTCAGCCAGAATAGAAATTTCAATTAGACATAAAATATCCTCCATAAAGAGTGATTGAAACAAAGTGGAGAGTCACTGAAACCAAAATTACTCTTAATTCTTCCCATACCATAGTTACTTTGGCTCTTCATTTTACCCAAAAAGCTCATTCAGACAAGGGTTCTGTTACTGTACGATGAGCAGTGGCAGTCTACAATTCACATCAATAAGGTATCAATGAAATTTTGGAAAATAGCCAATTCTAACCCTAGATACAGTCATAAAGAAAACGGAAACTTATTTAAATGTATTATAATGGAAACATAATCATCAAACAGTTTTAAGTTGTGTGTGTTACATTAGCTAGTGATAAACTATATGTACACGACATACGCCTTACTTCGGGCACGAAGGCTGGCCTTAAACACTGAAAGGCAGGTACATTCATGGGGGGAGAGCTTTTGGGCTTAGGCGCAAGGCGCAGAAAAGGCACCCCTTTTTTAATTTTCTTCCCTGCACAGTCAGCTAGGGTTTTCCATTTATGATTATATGATCTAGCCGCCTCCGCTCTTTGTATTATGTGTTTACATCAAAAAAATAATACTCGCTCTGTCCCAAAGAGATAGTCCATCTTTCCTTTTTGGTTTGTCCCAAAATATAATCCACTTTCCTTTTTTGCATTATAGATAACCCTTAAATAGTCCATTATACTCTTATTAAATTTTATCTTATTTTCAACAACCCTCACTAATTCTTACTTATTATTGCAATATAATAATTGCTCATGTGCTATTTAAGATGGACATAATAGAAAAGTTATATGAATAAAGTCATTTAACTATAATAATTGCTACTTTCTTAATCCATGTGGAAATAGAAAGTTAGAAAGTGGATTATCTTTTTAGGACGGAGGGAGTAATAATAACAGAAGAAAAAGAAGAAAAATTAACGGATTCTCTCTTTCAGCCATCCAAACTCAGGTATGTACCTCTCTCTTTCAATCTCTCTTATTAAGGGGTTATGCTGCCAATTTTTTTTCTGATTTTGTTAGGATTTCGGTCATAAAAACCCTAACAAGTGTGTTTGGATACTTAGAAAAGGGTAGAAAATTAGAGAAAAGAAAGAGCAAAGAACAAAGAGAGAATTACGGAATATAGGGAAAGTAAAGAAGAAAGAGCTACACAACTTTTTACTTTCTTCTCAATAATATCTGTACATCCCATTCTCCAGCTAATGTAGTTACAATCATATTCAAAACAGATTCAAGAATCACAATTAAATCCTAAACTCATAATATTTTTACAATCAATCAAAATTAAAATTTATTATCTTTCCAATTATATCATTATATGTCTTATGTAAGGAGAAGTTTTTCAATTTTTTGAAGTTATAATTATTTTTTTATTTTTGTGCCTCACCACACTCGGGCGAGCACCTAGGCCCAGTGTCAAACCTTTTACACACAATTGAAATACAACCCAACGCATAAAGTCCTCGTAAAGCACCAAGTCAAAGGATATAAAAGTTTTATCTTTCCCATATAAAAGGTTAAAAAGGATGCAAAAGTTGTATAAAAGGTAAAGAACATTCAGATGAAATGATAAAAGAGTGCAGAATAAAGAAGAAGGATTGCAAAGAAACCTGAAATTGTGGATAGTCTGGAGCACTAAATACAGTTATTAGCTTTCCTGACTCGACAACATGATCAATGGTGTAACCTTCATCCATTCCTGAAAGACCAGAACGCTTTTCTCTGGCATCAGGACCTTCATGTGATCTGATTATTAGCTAAGGCAACAACAACAAACCATGATTCTGCTATCAGTGTTGAAACCGTAAACACAGCTTATGCACAACATTAGTCACTGAAACATAAATATCTACCTATATAGGATGCAAAGAAACCTGAAAATTGTAGGATAGTCTGAGCGACTAAATTTACATGTTGATTAGCTTTCCTGGACTCGGGACAACATGATCAATGGTGTAAACCTTCATCCATTCCTGTGAAGACCAGAACGCTTTTTCATCTGGCATTCAGGACCTATCATGTGCATCTGATATTAGCTAAGGCGAACCAACAACAAAACCATGATTCTGCTATCAGTGTTGAAACCGTAAACACAGCTTATGCACCTAACATTAGTCCACTGAAAACTATTAATATCTACCATATAAATATATATATATATATATATATTATATATACCCAAAAATTACAGAAAAACAGATCCATTTTTTCTCAATTCTGCTTCTTAAAAAGACCGACAAGATGCTTCCAAAGTAACTACTCAACATAGGCAATAAAATTGTGAATCCTAACAGGCATAGTGAATGATAAATGCATATATATATATATATATATATACCCAAATTACAGAAACAGATCCATTTTTCTCAAATCTGCTTCGTTAAAGACCGACAAGTGCTTCCAAAGTAACTACTCAACATAGGCAATAAAATGTTAACCTAACAGGCATAGTGAATGATAAATGCAGGATAAAATAAAGCCATGTATCCTTCTAAACTACCAGATCAGCATCATGCAATAACTGCTGTTTTATCACAATACAAATTAGGAATTAACAGGTCATGGATATTCACAAAACGTTTTTGTTAGAGAATCTAGTTAATTATTTAGAGAAACCAGTAAATAACCAAAATTGTCCAAGAGCATGAGAAAATTGAGAGAAATTAGAATACAAATACATCATTCCAAAAGAAAATTCAAATCTGGCACAACCTTTAGCTGGAACTTTTTCAAAAATTCTTCAGTGCAATCTGGTCCCCACAATAGACCAATGCCTCTCTCTTTATTCGGTGAAAGTCCAGGTTTCATTGTTGGATCAGACCATAAAACATCACCGGGAATCAGGTTCGAACCTTCCCATGGAGGGTCAAGAACTGATCTTCGAGCTTTAGACAATTCCTCAAAAGAACCAAGAGATAAAGGGATCGTCTCAGGATTAATAATTATTCTTCGATTCTTCTTTCCTTTTGATCTCTTTGATGGGGTAATGGAGACACTGCGGAAAAGCCCTCCATGAGCTGTATATACATGGCCAGCAATAATAGAGGCCAAGGGAAGCCCTTCAAAGCATCCCAAACACTTCCTATACACATGCTTACCTTTATCATCATATTTTGCCAAAACTTCCTTCTCGAAGCCATAAACAGATGTGCAATACTTGGATTCGTGATTGCCACGGAGGAGATACACCCTTTGTGGCAAAAAGACCTGACCGAAACATCATCTCATATAATTCATTTGATTACCAAGAAAAGAAAACGTCAAATTTTTAAGCTCAAATAAGCATTTAGTATCTTGAAGGCCAAAATTGTCAGATAAGAAAGCATACATTAATAAAGAACAAGAGTTCACAAAGAATCAAGTTAATTAACAGATTCAATTAAATTTGACATCAAATGGTTGATTGAACAAAGTCGGAGCATTACCACAGAGCCCTGGTATGATCCATAAAATATACATGAATTCAATGTTTTCATCCAAAAAGGTGATTCCAGTTTCTTAATATTGTCTAAGTGTTAGTATAGGTTTCTATTATTTGTACTCTCAATGTAACTCCTATAACTACCAACTTATTCCTTGTAAAATCTTGTAATAAATAGTGAAATGCAATAAAAGTATCTATCGAGAGGAAACTTTATTTCTAAAAACTAGTAAGATTTTCGTTGTAAGTGCAAAGAATGGCTTAAGATAATTTGTCATTCAATATCTAATTGGATAAAAAAATTGAAGTGGCACTTTAATATGCAGAATAAAGAAAGATTAAAAAAAAATAACAAAGCTGCATGACATATAGTTGACAAAAAAAAAATGCTTCAATGCATTTCATAGCATTTCTTAAAAATGTCTTCTTTTTATATCTTTTGATGAATTAAAATAACAAACAGATCGTTTCTTTTCTACACATTAATTTTGAATGTCATTACAGTATTTACTAGTTTAACTATCAAGCTCCTCGCCTAGCATCCCATATTATTCTTGCTTGCATTAAATATGATGCAGTTACTGGATTCGTATACTTGTATAAAAAAAAAGAGTTCAGAAACTTCTTTTCTATGTGTAGAGAAGCAGAGTTGAACGTGATAAGAGTTACCTTCCAAGCTAACAAGAGCGAGAAGGTTTCGAGACCCCAAGCACCACGGTCAACATAATCGCCATTGAAGACAAAGAAGCGATTATCACAAGGAAATCCGGCATTCTGGAAGAGAAAAAGAAGGTCGTGGAGTTGGCCATGAACGTCTCCTACAACAACAACGGTGGAATCAGGAACAGAGCAGCAATCCTCGATTCTTACACAATTGGGTTCCTTGTGAAGGATCTTTGAAGCAGTAAGTACGAGAGAATCAAAGACTGAAACGGGCAAAACGGAGGGGAAATCCGAAGGAGACAGATTTCTAGAAGACCAGTCTAAGGCAGAGGTGAAATTTTGAATCCAATCGAGAGTGAGATTGCCATCGGGAGGCCATGAAAGAGGAATCTCAATCGGCGGCGCTGATGAAGATTTGGTGGCGACGGGTATAGCGGCTTCATTGGCTGCGATTGATTTTGGATCTGATGAGGAACCAGATTGAGATGGTGAAGAATCTGATGACATGTAAGAATATAATCTCTTTTCTTTTTTCTTATTCAGAAATTCAAAGAATTTTCTTTATAAATAAAAGAAATAACAAACTATGCAGTAGGGAAGAGTGAGTCAGCCTCCTATTTGTATTGAGCAAGCTTAACTCTGCCAGTGCCTGGCTAAGCTTACAGTCGCATAAATTCACAATTAACACTTACCTGCATTAATTAGGTTGAAACAAATTTGAGTGTCTGAAAAAGAAAGTTTTGTTTTTTATATATTATTCATATAATTAATATTTTTTAAACAAATGAAAATAATTAAATTTGAGATCTAAACCATCCACACCCTGCAAATGCTAATGGGATAGGAATTCTTCATCAAATATTTGAGATAGAATAAAAATTTCCATTGAAACGAACCAAATTGTTTAAGGTTTTTGCATTTAGAAAGCAATTAATGCTATTAAATTATAATACAAAGTTTATTAATTTAATTGAATTACCAATTATCTTATCTCACGTTATGGATTTATATTTATAGACAAAAAAATTATTCTAAAATGATTTATATTTTCGCGCACAAATGAGTATCATATATAAATACTTCCATTGTTTTATGCATTGGAATGCGGTGGTTCTTTATGCAGATATGAGCTGTTCGTTCTCTGCTCATGCTATTCTTGTTTTGTCTGGCTCAGTGGATTTAGCTAATAAAGACCTGCTTTGTCACTGGGGTTTATAATCGTGATGTTGACAGCCGGATTAAACCTCTGCATGTATGGGTCAAGGTTAATGTCAATGGTGCTGTTACTTTTGTTTCTAAACGCAGTGCAGTTGGTGAACTTATTAGAGACGACATGAGTTTTTGGAGAGGGGGATTTTCTGTTGCAGTTGAATTATGGGCCATTTGGTATGGTCTTCATCTTGCCTAGACTAATGGCTTTCAGTCTTTGGAACATTTGGTATGGGCCATTTGGAATGGTAATTTTCAGTCTTTGGTCTGGAACATCAAACAATTCTAAACCAGGATTGGGACATCATTATCTCTCACTGTATCCGGAAAACGAATAACTGTGCTGATTTTTTAGCCAAAGTTGGTCTGGAAAGGCACTCTCTCTATTCCTTTTCTAGGTTACCAGATTTTCTTGTTCGTTTTGGTAGCTGCTCAGCAATGATATGTAGTTAAGCTTTGCTTCCTTTTTTTATAAGAAAAAAGAAAAAAACAATCAAAAGATTTAGAGTAAAATGATACGTTATAATTTGACTTTCTTAATTTTTTATATTAAGTTAGGTTGATTAAGAAAAAATTTAAAAAATTTTGATGGCAAAACCTTATAGCGTAACATGTACGTAATCCGCAATTTAAATAGCGTAATTTTAAAAGTTAACGTATTTACTAATATATTTAATTGAATCCTAGGGACTACATAGTAATTACCCTTTTAATTATTGTTGAAATTAGTAATTAGTTCATGTCATAATAACTAATTTTATCAGTAAACTAAATTTATTTTTATTAAATATTCAGAGAAAAACTTTACATAATCTAGCACTAACCTGTTATTTAGAAAGGAGAGAAGAAAAAAAAATTGAAAGAAAGAAAATCACAAGGAATTGTCAACTTTCTTTCTATAGTTATTTTTTATATTTATATTTTTAACTTAAAATCCAATTTTCTTCTTTTAATACTATGAATTTTAATAAATAAAATATTCTAGTTCGACTCTTCAAATATATACTTAAGAAAAAAAATTGAAAGAAAGAAATCACATTGGAATTGTCAACTTTCTTCTATAGTTATTTTTTATATTTTATATTTTTAAACTGAATTGTCAACTTTCTTTCTATAGTTATTTTTTATATTTATATTTTTAACTTAAAATCCAATTTTCTTCTTTTAATACTATGAATTTTAATAAATAAAATATTCTAGTTCGACTCTTCAAATATATACTTGAACTTAAGCTTAATTTGAACTTGAACTCGGTTTGTTTACACTTTATGGTTAAAAAAATTTATTTGGGTTTTCAAGTTATTAAGCTTATGAAACTAAGTCCAACAAGTTTTATTTTTTAAAACTGAACCTCGAAAGCTCAGAAATGATCTGATTCATTTACGGACTTAGAATTATCTGAGCGGTAAGCACATGTGAAGGTCTATGATAAAGACAGCAGGCACAATATAATAAAGCCGACAGACACATTAATTAACCTTGATTAAGAGTTAATTTTAAAATAAAAAAGGTGGGTTATTGATAATCCTCCTCAGCCACAAATTTAAAACTTAAAACAGTGTCAATTAACCAAACCAAGGACTTGATGAGAAGCAGCTAATTTGTCTTTCTCTTCAATCTTTTCGTGTCACCCAAATCAATGGCATTTCTACCAAATCCAAAGACACTGCTACCCAAACATACTGCACCCAGTTACCTTCTTTTACTACATTAACCATCAATAATAATAATAATTGATATTAGGAATTTTTCTATTAACCATAAATCTAAAATAAGATGAGTCAACACGAAAGTGACAATATTATTATAAAATTTTTGTCATTGATGCTCTAATACCGACAATGTTATCATCTAATGGATTGATTAAAAATAAAAACTGTAGAGCGTAATAGACTCAAATTGAAATAAAAGAACTCAATTGATTAAAGCGGCAAAGTTTAGAAGGCAAAATGTGATTTTCACTCGCTAAAGGGAAAACGAATCATAATTTATTTTTATTCCAAAAGAAAAGGTCACAAAAATAAACAATCAAGTAGTGAATTTGGTAAGATTTGTCTCAACATAAACTTTTCAACTTAAAATATAACTAATACTAGCTAGCAAGTCAAGGCATCGAAAAATCAATGTTGAAACTTCAATTTGCATTTGCATCGCCTGATTTTATGGCAAGAATCCAACTCTGCATCTCAAAATTTAATTATTCATCCAATATAGCTTGATCTAGTAGTTAAGCGAACTAAGTTTCACGCTGATAATCATTAGATTAAGGATATGTTCGGTAAAATTAACTGTCTGTTTCGGTAGTTCTTAGCTGTTTTAGTAACGTTTAATTGTTAACTGTTTGAATAACTTTTCATAAAATGTTAAAAGTTAAACATTTAGCTGTTTGAGTATCTTTACATAAAATGCTAAAAATTAAATGTTATATAGGTTAACTTTTTATAAAATGTTAAAACTAGTTCAAACACTATGTTACCGAATACTATAAAAAATAACGTTTAAAAAACTGTTGCCGAAAATAGGCTAAGTATTGAAATCAGTATTTTTAAAAAGATTTTAAATATAATCGCTCCCGATGGAAAAGGAATTAGTCTTCCATTCAACCATTAAATGAAAGTGTTTAGATTTTCTTAGGAAAAATTATTCAAAGAGCGAAGAAAATTAACAATTTAGAAAAAAAGAAAAAAAGAAAAATCCAAGCATATGCAAAACAGAAAGGATAACTATTACTAATATATGTCCAATGTATGGATAAAAATGTATTTCGTCTTCCGTTTTCAAACTTGTCTAAAACATTAAAAAAAAAAAAAAAAAATTACAACCCAAATTATAGAAAAAAAAAGAAAAAAAGAAAACAAATCCCAAGCATATGCCAAAAACAGAAAGCGATAACTATTACTGAATATTATGTCAAATATAATAGAAAAAAAATGAATATTTACGTCTTACCGATTATTTCAAATTATGTCTAAAAACATTAAAAAAAAAAAAAAAAAGAAACGAAAAAAAGAAAATTACAAACGTTGCAAATCAAACAGTCAAAGCTAATGCGGTAATCAGATCTGAATGACTTATGGATCCATTATTGCCACTGAAAATAATAACAGTTACAGACTTAGGAAGCTGTAAATGATAATAAAATATCACAGCACATATTACGATTTATAAAAAAAAAAAAAAAAAAGAAAGAAAAAGAAAAATACAAACGTTGAAATCAAAAGTCAAGCTATGGGTAAATCAAGTCTGAATGCTCCATTTTTTATTCCACTGAAAATTCAATGGTTACAGCTTAGGAGCTGTTGTAATATCAGCCATATTTGACGATATTAAGAAAAATTAATTATTTTAATTAAAAATGTAGAATTTCATGTATATTTTCCAATTATACATTTACTTTAATATGAGATATATTTATCAATTTATTATTCACGTTATGCATCAATCAAGATTAATTAATTATTTAAGGTTGGTTAATATGCACTGAAAATGACTAAACTTAATAAAAACTCGCATTTTCAATTTTCAAAATGATTCCATAAATAACGCTCTCTCTGTTTCACTTTAATAGCAATGAATAAACATTTTATCTTGTTCACTTATTTAAGATTTTGAGACTATATTTTTTTTTTCCAATTTTACCCATATTTATTAGATGTCATTTATTTATATACTTACATTTAAGAAGGGCAATTTTGATATTCTACTATATATTTTTAGAAAATCAATAAATTTCAATCATTTTCTTAATCCTGGTGAAAAGATCTAATGATACTATTAAAATGTAACGGAGGGAGTAACATTAGAAAATTAAGAGTAATTGAAAAAATAAGAAAGTTATTTTTAACAAGTAACATTAAATATAGGTACAATAAAGATTTACGTAGTAACTAGCTTTTTAAAAATAATATGTCTCCAAACAAGAAAGGAGAGTGTGCTTATCATTGAGGACTGAGAGAGTATTAATAATGCAAGGTACCCTACTAGTAAAAGTAAAATAATAAATATCTCAATAACATTGATATAAATTTTATCTGTAACGATGAGAACACAAATTTATTTCTCGAGAAACTTATTTATTGGAAAGACTAAAATTTTATACATTTTACGGCTATATATATATATATATATATATATATGGATCTACAATAGGAATGAAAGTAAAGCATATACTTACAAATTTTGAATTACTCGCATCGGCATTTATTTAAAATTTTACTATTTATAATCGTTCCAAAATCATTTAAAGTACCCTTTGAAATGGATAAGTGCCTACAAGTATCTAAACTTAAACTTATTTAAAACATTTTTTTTTTTTTACTAGTAATCGGTAGAGTACATGCAAATACTCATGACCAAACCCATTAAACGTAGCACGTACGATATATCCATATATTATTCATGCTCATCACTGAGTAAATAAATTTTATTACTCGTATCCACTTTAAATTCTTTCGTAAC